TAATGATGACTTAAACTAATCATTTAACTCACGTGTGAAGCAAAAGAAATCTGTTTATATCATTGTGAATTCAAAATATTTTGTCAGACAAAACAAGCAGTTTAAAGAAGCCAACTAGGGCTCTGAGAAATTGTATATTTTTTAGACTCAATGAATATTCGATTAATCAGAGGAAATATTTAACAGATAAATCAGTAATAAAAAGAATGGTTAGTTGCAGACCTAGCATGTTTATAGGATAAATTACTAAAGCTATTAAATAATAGAATAGTTTAGTCAAAATAAATCACACAATTAACAACTGAAAATGTAGTATTATTTTTGCCTATCCTATAATAATCAATGAGTACAGTTTATAGCCTAAACGGTTTTCTAATTTTAATAACTGATTAATCAACCAACAAATTCAGCAGTACTGTGTAGCTCTAGTCTCATCACGTCAGCTGATCAATCACAGTCCAAGAAAATAGAAGTTCACGTATACTTTACACAATCGAGTCTAGTTAAGGAACTTAAAAATTTATTTAAAATGCACAAATTAAAACACATTTGGAAGAGGCCATTTCAATGAGGTTGTCACATTAAATACCCCAAACAGCTGGGAAGACCTAGACAGCGAAAATGAATGGGAAAAACATCATCTCTTATCTCCAGAGCAACAGGTACCCTGGGGCAAGGCTGGTAGACCTGCTCAGCATTTAACAGTAAGAGACTGTGGTTGTACAAGTCAGCTCAGGTGTCACTGTGAAGCCAGAACTGCTTTAAATACTGTCAAACTGCGTCTTAATTAACAAGTTTGCTGTGAAACTCTCACATTACAGACTCTCTCATCACGTTATTTATTCGTTACTAGGTCACTGAGGAACATTGCACTTAATACGGGGGAAACATTGCACAGCCGTGATCTGCCAGAACACATCTATGTCGAATGAAAGCTCAGAGAGAGAGAGGGAGGAGAGAGGGAGTCAGAGTGATGAAGATGGAAGGACAGACATAGACCGAGGGGAGACGGCTGGGTCAGGGAAACAGAGAGTGAGAAGTCGCAAGAGAAGGGAAAGTGAAAGAAGGTGAATATTTGACAGCCCCATGTGACTTGCAATCACAGGACTGTTGAAGTGTCTAGAGGACACGCTCATGACAAGACTCGTGACCAGAGGCTATCACAATCATTCATTCAAAAGGGAAACTTTGTTTGTGGCCATACACACCTGTAGATGGTAAATTAATGAGGTAGCTTTACCATTCTGAAAACTTACACACCGTTTTTCTTGTGTCTCTGCATGCAGTTTGAGGGGAGATTTGTCTAGTTTAGTTCACCTGGATGTCAATAAGATCAGTTAGCAGCTGTAAAGCAGGGAAAGCAACTACTGCTAAATAAAAAAAGATATTTTTAAAGTCACTAACTTAATTTTAAAATAAAAGAAATATGATTATATGTACTTTAAATCCACTTCCCGTTTTTGTAAGCGGCTTTTCAGAAATGTCATAACTGTCACTAACTAGCCTAAACAGTTAACTACACTATTTTAGAAATCCCAACAACCTAATAAACTAGTAATATTAACCTGACTCTTTGATTTCTTTCACCACACAACCAGGTGTAGCCTACATGATTAGCAACACAGTCAGATAACAATTCAACCACCAAAATATATTACATTTACAAAGATTTAAAGTCTAATGATTTAGATGTGAGTCAGGACCCATCGCACTTTAAAACACCGTCCCCACAAAAAAATACAATACTAAGGCAAATATCCTTGAAAGTAAAAACCGACTTGGCAATAAACCGGTTTCTGATGTTCTCTGTGGATTAAACCGTTCAAAAATGCTGCCACGCCTCAATAAGTGCATTCAAAACAGGTATTTTGCATTTGGACAACAGACTGAAACACTTGCTGACACACTTATTTGTCCAGAAATGAAATGTTCAGGTAACAGAAAACAGTGTTCACCCTGCTGTCAGCCTGCTGTCGAATATAACTCTTCCGATTCTAATGTCTGAGAGTGAATACCAACCCTGTCATCCTAAATGAGGATACAAATATCAATACCAAATACCAGTGAGCCAAAGGAGGAATCACAGCTGGGGGATAATTTTAGGTTTTCAAGGGTCACAGCAGAGACACTCTGTCAGGAAACACTGGACCACAGCTAATCCAAGTAACGCGAGTGTAGAATCGGCACAATAAATTAGGTAAATGATATTTTAAAAAGCAAGCAACAAAAATAAGTTGCTATTTTGTAGGATTTACACTTTTTTTTTTTTAAATGTACATCCCAATATATACAGTTGCTAACAAACTAATAATGGACCATTCTGGATGTACATGGGCTTATAAACTATTTTCTCTTCAAGTTTGTGAAAGTGGTCTTTCGTAAAGCTGAAATTATTAAATCGATGAATCTAATAGCTGATGAAGTACAAAGTGTGTAAATGGCAAAGTAGATTTAATTCAAAACGGCTAGCTTCCAGTTGAGATTAGGGTATAGCTCCAAGGATTTTTTATTTATTTCAGAGACGATACATCTGCCTCACAAATTTTGTACATCTAGGTGAAACGTACGATCGGAGCGGCTTGTTGAAATTTTTATGGCGCTATAAAGCTCCCTTTACAAAAACAATAGGTTCCTTGCAGAGAAAATTTATCACCAACTCTTTTGGTAATTGATTAATTGTTTGAATGATTAACAAGCAACAACTTTCTCTGGTTCCAGCTTCTCAAATGTGAAGTTTTGCTGCTTTTCTCTATTTTATGTCACTGCAAAATAAGTATTTCACAAAACAAGATGTCTGAAGACATCACAGACTAATATGATTAACAAATTAATTGATTTCCAGATGAATCAATAACAAAACATTGTTAGTTGCAAGCACTAGTTCATATAATAAATTACCAGCAGACTGAAGCACATATAGTTCCCAGTGTAGCTGCAGTGTGTCAGCCGTGATAATCTCCCACTATGACCTACTATTATTATCCAGGTGTAACCTGATTTGGCATGACTGGCTTTTATATGAGTCACTGATGACCACTGATGACCACATACTGACGACATCATCCACCATCCCTTGTTCCCCTCAACCAGAAAAGTAATGCGATTTGGTAAAACGTTTCCTGGACATGTACTGTTACAACTAAAGCTGACTCATATATGACATTTTTAAGAGATAACTTGCCGGAAAAGGACTACTCCCTGAAGTTAACACGATTAATGCATCATTTAAGCACTTAATGAATGACAACATCATGCATAAAACAGATGATAAGTTGTCACGCTTCTAAATTTAGTGTGGCCTAAAGCTGAACTATGATGGCTATTAAAATCCTAAAAAGGCATGTACAGTATCTGGACACATTGTAAGATTGTGACAATTGAGTAAAGGTGCACCACTGTATACATTTTCTAGTGATGTCAGTATCATTACAAATAACAAATATACAAATAAGGATAAACACATTATTTGATGTTATTACATTCACCAGTACAATTTATGGAATTGCACAGAATCTGCACTTCCATAAATTGTGCAGCTGGTGCTACGTACTGATCAGAGCATTTAATAATTAGTCATACATGTAATTTGTAGTAGTAGAAACTATTTCACAAATAGTCTGTGCAAAAATACCTTGACAACAGTAAAGATCAACAGCAATTGTGTTTATTCATGCAAATGTATTAATTGTCTTCACTAACTATAAAGATACAGCAGGAGATTTTCTTCACAGAAGGTTTTCATTGCAGAACACTTATCTTAATCAAAGTGCTGGTGACAGTATCTAAAAATAGACGGACTGTTTTCAGTTGCACAATGACTGTCCTGTATCAGCTCTTTTACTGATATAGACTAATACTTGTTTGTTTTAATGCTATTAAGTGACATGCTCCCAGAAGAAATCATCAAAAAAACAAGACAAACTGATTAACAGAAATACAACTACCACACAAATACAGTACATTTTAGCAACTTCACCAAAATCTGTAAACAATCAACTTGACATCATAATAGAGGAAAGATTTATATTTCAATAATTTCTGTCTAGTGACAAACATTGAATCTGGGTGTAGGTTATCACTTAACAAGACTTTGATGGTCTGTGGGTGAAAAAGTGAAGGAATTTATGTATTGCCTGCTCAGGAAAAAAAAAAACTATCAGCATGGCTTATAGTGGAGAACTGGGCTCCTGCATGCTATCTGATTTAAAAGATTACAAATGCAGTTAATGATCATAGACCCCAAAGTGGCAGACCACAGCCAAAAATATCATTTCTAACTATCTTCTGCCATAAACACTGCATGCAGTCTCCCACACTCACCAATCCCAGCTGTCACTCCATCTACACATCACAAGAGGACAGAAAGAGGCAGCAGCTCTTCTCCAGCTATTTTAGATCCGCTAGTAAGCAAGTAATAAACAAGCAATACAATGGAAATAATTGAAACTACTTACATATTCCTAAATAACCTGGCTGTTAATCAACCTGAAAGGGGAAGTTGCACCTGTCTCTCTAACTTTTACACTGACAGGCTCGATCAAAAACACACTGACCCCCCTCACTTGCCTACAGACTACAAATCCGGTGGCGTTTCCTCACTGTTTCACTCAACACTGACTTTCAATCAAGTCACGTTTTAAACCAACAATAATCGATATGCCGCCCCGGGATCTGGATCCAACTTCTCCTGGACTGTCAACCCTTTACCGGAGGGGGGGCTCTCAGGTCGTGACTGGAAAACAGAACTAGAAAATACCGGTCGGCTCGGGAATCAAACCTTGGTTAAAGCGGATAATCTCCGGGCACTGCATCAAAGGAACACACACACACACACACACACACACACAGGATCCATGTTTGTTAGCCCGACTGTTAGCCTAGCCTGCACTGAGCGATATGACTGGTTTGAATAAGCCAGGTAGCATTTAGCTCGCTAACTAATCCAAGGGCAGCAAAGCTGACTAATGTTAGCCCGCTAGCTAACTGTGAGCATTGCTTACCTTGTTCTCAGTGTGGCTCCTGTTTTTTTTTTTTTTAAGTGACGCGTAGCTCGATTTTTATAATACTCGCATCCCAGTTCAGCTTCGCTCTCCGCCGCTAAACCATTCAAACAGCCGGTAGTACAGCCACTGAGCTAACGGCTCCAGCGGGAGTCAATCCGTGTGAAGCGGTCGCGCAGAAACACTCACACTCCCCCTCCGCTCGTCCCCGGTGGTACTCGGGTGGCGACGGAAAGTGTTGCCTTGACCACGCCCCGAACTCATTTCATTGGTCGCAGGTCCTACGCGAGTCTTACCTCTGAAATGTTACGATAATGTTAGGATAGTACCTCTCATCGTAACCCACAAAATTTTTTAATTACAAACAAAGTTAAAGAAATATCATTTAAAATTCTTCACCATTGTTACCCCTGTAACGAGATTATCTCGAAATGTATCCCTACTGTAGACGAAAAATGCTCCTTCTGCTCTCTGGAAACAGAAACGTTGGACCATTTATTCTATAGCTGTTCACACAGCTCTTCTCTGAGGAATGATATACAATGCTTCATTAATGGACACTTTGGCTCAAACGTAAAAATATCCAATTTTGAAAATTCTTTATTCATAAATCAAACTTTATGAAGAACAAACCTCTTTTCAATGTTTTTAAATTTGACTTAAAAAATGATATAGTCTGTATTTCTGGACTAAAGAGTAAATCAGCATCAAAATGTTTACAACATTTATCTAATATAACTTTATAATTAATTTAACTGATATCTATTGTTTGACACTCTGGCTGTATACTTTATTTTTGTTTTATAATTGTTTTTTTTATTTTTTTTATTTTTTTCACTGTCTCTGTTTTTCTTCTTTATAAAAACGTGAACTGTAACTATATAATTCTTGTAATAAAAAAAAATCGTTTAGGATATTACAGCTAACATGTCAATTAAATTTCATCCCTGGTCTAAACCGACACAGGTAGCTTCAGTACGTCTATCACCCCATCTAAAGAACCAACTGGGAGATACTATGTATTTCCTCCATAACATTTAATATAATAAATAATGTTAAGATATCACATCTAAGGATATTACAGCTAATGTCGATAAAGTTTCATCCTTGATCTAAGCCTGAACTTGTAGCACAATTTCATACATTCTCCTGCCAATGAACAATTATTAAAATATCTAATAATGAATAATAATACTAATAATACTTCTACTACTACTACTACTACTACTAATAATAATAATAATATCACAGTCATTTTATATATACAACAACAATTATTAGTTTTCTTTATTAGTCTGAGTTTCCACAGGTTGTCTTCAGAGAAGATAGATTTTGTCCCCGCGGTTGTCTTTCTCCACCCGTTTTACAGCATGCCCCGCCCTACTGTGCTATGATTGGCATTTGGTGCTTCTGTACGTCCTTGTGATTGGATGCTAACTGTGAGAGAAGCGCAGAGGCGTTCCAATCAAAGCACAGTAGGGAGGGGCTTGAATAAAAACGGGTGGGAAATAAAAAAATTACGCGTCCTGCGCACAGGAAATCAACACGGAAGTGAGCCTCGTTACTAGCAAGCCACGCACAGAAGAAAAACTTGCTAACTGAACTTCTGGTATTTGAGTATGATTCATTTTGTAAACGTCAGTTTTATATGAAGTTGTTTAAATGGCACGCCTCTACAAAGTTGGCTGTTATTTCTTGTTTTTAAGCTTGTAGGATAATACGTTGTAAGATTTTGGCCATGTCATGGGCTAACATTAGCATTAGCATTCACAACTAACATGACACAGCCAGAACTCCGCACAGACAACGATAGCTAGCTGGCTAACCGCTACTTTTGTTAGCTTCCCTTTGAAAAGTATTTTTGTGAGACAAACGAACTTTTCCACACTTGTGAAACTTTTGAATCAGACCGCAACTGTATTGAGACGGTTAGACATCACTTTTACAGTGTTAATCTATATGAAATAGCCGTAAGAATAAAAAAGATGAAAGATGAACAACTCGTCTCGTAACTTTAAGCTCATTGTTTATCAAATATGATTGTCAGGGTTAGTAATCGGAACAGTAGGGCAGAAAAAGTTCTGAGTTATTTTAGATAGCCTAGTAGTAACTAGTATTAAGAATTGTAATTAGTAACGATGTAGGAGCTAAAAGTATCAAAATTATTAGGTAAAAATGAAATGTACTTGATATTTATGAATTTGTCATGTTGTAACGTTACGTTTACATGCACAAGAACTTTGTCTTGGATTTTGTTGGTTGGTTTGTCTTAGACTCCCACATACAAAAGTAATTTATAAAAGTGGTGCACTAAACATTCCAACTTACTTTATTTTTTTTTTTTTTTACCTGTCCTGCCCAGCAGCCTGGAATAGAGTATGATGAGCTGGATACCATATTGTGCCAGAAAGATTTTACTTTAACAAGAGAGTATTAATATGCTCCTTTGTCTGTTTTGTTATTTATTTAATTATGTATTGATTTGTCACCGGGCGGACAGGGGGGCAGATAGGGGTACACAAAGAGACAGCACAGATGACAAGACCTGCAAGAGAAGGGGGATGGAAGGTGGGGACAACAGGGAATAGCAGAGGGAAACACCAACAACAAACAATAAAAAAAATAATAATAGTAAATGACAACCAGCTGAACAGCAGCAATAAACAGCTGACATAGTAAGACAACTAAGAGCAAAATGAAAACAAGAAACAGTCCAGCACATTAAATAAGCAACACAGCACAGCACAGTGTGCGCATAAGCCTGTTAAAGAATGTAGTTGTTGGTGAGAGTGGGACGTTCCAACTTACTTTAACTTCGTTTTCTAGTTTTGTTAGTCATGTCATTAATAATCAGCCACAGTAAAATGGTTCTTGTAAAAACACAACTTTTGTCTTTCTTCTTTTCCTTCAGTATTCAGCCTGCTTTACAAAGAGATCTAAAGATGTCATCAGGTGCTCTCTTTCCGAGTTTGGTGAGCGGATCTAGGGGAAGCTCTAGCAAGTACCTGGTGGAGTTTCGTGCTGGTAAAATGACCTTGAAGGGGAATGTAGTGACACCAGACAAACGCAAGGGCACAGTGTACATCCAGCAGTCGGACGACTCCCTGATTCACTTCTGCTGGAAGGACAGGACGACTGGGAATGTTGATGATGTGAGTAACTTTAAACTCAATAATGCTAGAGGGAGTTTGTCTGACCTTGTTAAAACTCAGTGTGACAGAAGATGTTACTATCCTCAGACATATTTTACATTCATCAAATACCTCAAAGAATACAAGGGCACTGGCAGCACTCCATGGAAGAAAATACTTTTGCTTTTTCATATTCATTCTGTATTTGTACACACAAGCATTTTTTCATACAAACAATTCTAACACATTGACTCCTAATTTAGCTGACATTCTGCCAAGCAAGCACTCTGACAGTGTCTTTATTTCAGAGCTGCAGTGATGCTGCTGCCCTGGTTTTCCCTTTTGTAATTGGTTGATGATGATTTGTTGTGGCAGAGAAACCTCAGTGTGTTTTTCTCTTTCCCCCCGCTCTCTCTCTCTCTCTCTTTTCTGTTCCAGGACCTGATCATTTTCCCTGATGATTGTGAATTCAAGAGGGTGAGCCAGTGCACCACTGGACGTGTCTATGTGCTGAAGTTCAAGGCTGGATCCAAGAGACTGTTCTTCTGGATGCAGGTGAGAGGAAGAAAAAGAGACTCTCTTTGTGAATGCAAGACATCTGTGTCCGTTTATGTGCAGGCAGATGGATGGTTCAATAGATGGAAACTGAAGTGGGAGGCAGTACGAGTGATGAGTAGAGAAGAAGAGAGATTATTACAGTCATGCTACCAGGGTGTGCATGGCTGTAATCAGTGTATTTGTCAGACAGCCACACATTTAATATTTATTCCCATCAGTAGTTTTTCCATTCATCTGCTCCATTGTGGAGGGATATTTTTTAAAACAAAGAAACAAGGTTATATCATCATGTGAATATTTTTTAACTTTATAATGTATTTTTTTTAACCGGACAAAACAGTTGATACACATTTTGTCTATCTATTGGTTTTCTGCAATGAGTTATGTGTGTAATTAGGTTGTTATACAGAGACAAAAGCACTATTGGCTTACATTTATCCAATAGTTAGAAATAATTTATATATATATTTTTTTTATCTCTTCGTCCTGCGTGACCACATAAATGGATCTGAAAGAATTGAGTCTGTTAATTTGGTCTGAAGGAATTCTTGTCTGCCTCATTTCCACCAGGAGCCAAAGACTGACATGGATGAAGAGCACTGTCGTAAGGTGAATGAGTACCTGAACAACCCTCCCATTCCTGGAACGGCAGGCAGCGGAGGCGGCAGTGGCCACGAACTCTCCGCACTCGGAGGAGAGGGAGGCCTGCAAAACCTGCTGGGAAATATGAGCCACAACCAGCTGATGCAGCTGATTGGACCAACAGGACTGGGAGGATTGGGTGAGCAGCACAAGATACTTCTTTGACATGTATATATCTTAACACTCAACACAGAGGAGACTCATTAATGTGCTGAGAGAAGAGACGTCTTCCAGGAAATAGGCAAGGCAAGTTTATTTGTATAGCACATTTTAACAACAAGGTAATTCAAAGTGCTTTACATAAAACATAAAAGCAACAGGCAAATATAAAAAAGTTTAAAAGCAACATAAAATATAATAAAAGTTAAAGTGTGACAATCAGGGTTAAAAGAGTTAAATGGAAAATAAAAACAGGCTGAGGGGTTGAGCAAATAATTGAGTTATAATTATTCTGAAAACAGAATAAACAGAAGTACACTTAATCCACTCTCTCTAGCTAGTCTGTATTCGGGTCCATAGCAGTCTTTGGGTCCACTGAAACTCCAAAACCCTCGGACACTACAGAGAAACCAGGACATGTCTGTCAGCAGACCACTTTGATCCAGTTATACTCTGGACCCACCTGTACGTTTACAGGTGGACAGAGGTTCCTGCAAATCACTCGGGCGCGAGATTTAAGACCACTTCCTTCACTCTGTTTAATCTCACTCCCATAATCCCCCAACTCAATTACCTACTCATTTCTCACTGTGTAAATATTTCATTAAAAGCAATGATAAAAAAAAACAAAAAACAAAGAAAAAGAAAACAGGACAGTAAAAGTTACAGTCCAGTGTAAGTTATCAATAAAAAGAAAAATCTTAAATATTTAATTAAAAGCAATGGTAAAAAGAAGAGTCTTCAGTCTTAATTTAAAAGAACTGACTCTTTCAGCAGACCTGCAGTTATCTGTGAGTTTGTTCCAAATATACGGAGCATAATAAGAACATAAATAACCCTCAAAAACAACACACCACCATCTCACGATTTCTTTTGTCAAACCGTGCTCCCTCTCTGCGATCATTTTTTTTTTTTTTTTTTTTTTTTTTTTTTTTTAGCCGTTGCAGCAGTTGTAAAGCCAAATTGCATGTTAAAAAGTCCAAGACATTTAGTTGCAAATGGCTTGCTGTATAAAAAGACCTGGGGGATGTAAATAAGACACAAGCTACAGTAAGGGTCCCTCATTCTAACTCTTAATGAGGCAGTAGTCCTTAGAGTAGACCATCAGCCTTAATGCTGTTGAGTTTGTTCACTTTATTTTTCGAGTTTCATCATATCAAATCTAAGTAAATACATTGTCTGTTTTTTATAACACATACAATTATGATATTTAAGTGTCAAGCTATATATTTTTATTCCAAAATGTCCTGTATTAATTAGAAAAATATGGCATCATAGTTTCTTATTTTGAAGTAGTGTTAAAATGTAATTTTAACAGATGTTTTTCCTTGTACTGTCGTTCTCACATGCTCGGCCAGGATTCTTCCAAAAAGAGTCTGAGATAAATTTGGACCCTTTTTGATTTGTTTGTGTTTGTTTAAGGAGGTCTGGGAGCCCTAGCAGGACCTGGACTTGCCAACTTGCTTGGCAGCGGAGGACCAGCTACCAGCAGCTCCTCATCTAGGTGAACCAGAACACCACACACACTGCAACACTTGTCATTACAGATGTAGAACAGAGTATATGTAAAAATATGATAAATTAATACTGAAAATGATACCTCCTTTGTCCCTTCCGTTTGCTCCTCCTGCTCCTTCTCAGCTCTCGTAGTCAATCAGCAGCAGCCACTACTGCATCAGGTGGAGCCCCCAGATTGAGCTCCTCCCAGGCCCCCACCACCCCTGTGACTCCCGCTGCCTCAGCTGTCTCCCCTACTACTGTTGCTCCCTCCACACCAGGTACATGAAGTACAATGTTGTCAATATGCAGCAGTCACCTGCTAATTAATTAATTCACTGTTTTTATTAGACTAGACATCTGTACAGTCATGGTAATCAGATTTTAGCTACACTTAGGTGACACTTTAAAAGTGCTTACGCCTTGCAAGACGTGCTAAGCACATAGTCCAGGTGGTCTTAATACATTTAATGCGGTTTTTGGTGTTTGATTATATTTAATAAAAATAGATGTGAAGACGAGTCGGCTGATTCATCAAAATGCCTTACAAGTAGAGATGCACCGTGCGATCGGCTGGGGACCGGAATATGCTGGTTTTCAGCATAATCGGCCGTGAATGGGGCAGAGCAGTGACAAATACCAGATTGTCTGCCAGTCACATTGAACATTACACTGCAGTGCTGCACAGCGTTTCAAGTCATGCGTACAGCGGCACAGATAGTAACCAGCTATTTACAGAGCCACACACGGCCAAAACATGTATGGATGAAGAAGACACCCAACGCCACAACTTTTCAATGTAGAAAAGTTACACAAATGTTTGTGTCTGCTGTCAATTATAATTGTTAGAAAGAAATCAGAATCGGCAGATCAGACCTTTCAGAAAATTGTGATCGGCGCACTTAAAACTGTTACTTATTGTAATCTTTAGAGCATTTTGTCTATTTTGGTTATTTACCATTAATAGTAAGTCAATAAAAAGATGTCTGTTACTTTGATTTCCTGCAGATTGATAGGTTTCTTCATGCTGTATTGATGAATGAATCTGGTGGAAATCTGATTGCCTTCACTCAGTTTCACTTTAAATTATGAATGCCTGTCTGGTACACACATTGTATGTACGGACTATAAATGATAACGTATTGACATCTACAAAGCAGCACATGACCAAAGAAGCCAAAACGCCAGCGAGAACGCCAGATGTTGGATGTGTAAATTTAACCATAAATCCAATCATTTCAGGTTTTAACAACCCTTGACCTCTTCAACCCCCTTCAATCAATCAAACTCCCTTTCTCTCACAGATATCGCTTAGGTTAACACTTTAAAATGATCCAGCTTCGTGTTGTGCCCCATCTGAAAAACCCTTTCAACAAGAAAAGTGTTTCATTGCTAATACAGTGTTTACACTTTGCATTGACACCTCCTTGTTTGTCTCATTTGCAGCCGCTGCTCCGACCCCAGTGGTCCCAGCCTCTGTTGGAAGCCCTACCTCCCACCAGCCCATCCAGCTCAGTGACCTTCAGAGCATCCTCGCCACCATGAACGTCCCAGCTTCAGATGCTGCTCAGGGATCATCGAGTGAGTGGCAGAGGATTGAATGTGGGGTAGCAGTCTGATCTATGACTTCACCATTGTCTAGTCACTACAAGTCAGTCTAAATACCAGCATTAGCTAAAGACAAAGAGTAGAAGCCAAGAAATATGGTCAAAGAAGAAAAGAATAGAGCTCATGACGTATGACATATGAATAACATGACTTCTCTACTGTTCTGCAGTGGATCTAGCAAGTGTTTGCACCCCAGAGATGATGGCTCCCATCCTGACTAACGCTGAGGTCCAGCAGAGGCTTCTGCCCTTCCTCCCCAGCGGAGAAAGTTTACTGCAGAGCGCCGACGAGATCCAGAGTACAATCAACTCACCTCAGTTCCAGCAGGTAACAGATGAACACAAAGTAGATCCAAATAAATACGTAGATATACATGTCTGGGAAAAATACAACTTAGGTGAAGTGGAGGACATAATGGCTGATGGAGTAACGGGGAAAAGCCAGACCCCAGATTTATGGAACTTTTTATTGAGAAACAGGCAATAATAGCTATATAAAAGGTGTTAGACTATTTTAATTAAGCACTAATGTAGAGCTGTTAAGCTAAATTGGGTGTGTTCACACGCTCCTGGTTGACTCAATGCACCTAATTTTAGCCAATTAGCTATGAGACGGAACATATGCAGATGGTTTCAATCATCTCCATCATGGAGTTATTTGGTAACAGTAATTATAGCAAGGTTCCACGGTTCATTTAGTGAGGCTATTTAAGTCAGTTTAATTGCTGCAGCTTGATGTCAGAGTGTTGATTAACACAGCGATTCCTCCTTCCCTCAGGCGATGAGTATGTTCAGCAGTGCCTTAGCCTCCGGGCAGCTCGGCCCTCTCCTGAGTCAGTTTGGTCTGCCGGCAGAAGCTGTGGACGCTGCCAACAGAGGAGGTATGAAACACACACACAGTGGTCTTCTTTTAACATAAGTAAGGCACTAAAGGACCTCTAAAGTTGTTTCCTCTGTATCTGAAAAAGGCTAGAGATATTATATATTTTTCTATAGTCAACAAACCCTATGGAAAAAAACTAAACAGAAATTGATAGATCATAATAACAAGTATTGTGTGTATCACAGCCAGGTTATTTAGTTTTGCATTTTTCATTAGTTTTGATGTTTATTTAGTTTTTATAGTGGATTTGAAAATGCTTTGTTTGAGTCTTCAGGACTCTGCCGCTTTCGCCGCCATGATAAATACATTGACAAAGATGAAAACTAAAGACATTAACTTTTTTCCCCCAAACAGACAATACAGTGTCAGTTATCATTTTTTCATCCGTTTTTATTTTAAGTTAACAAAAATGTTTTCCACAACCATTTTGTTTGCTTCATTAGTTTTCGTTAATGATAATAACCTTGGTCACAGCTTCATATCTCGTCTTCCTCTGAGCTCCATTGTTGCCCAGAAACTATTAAAAATATATCAGAGGCTTACTGTTGCACTTGGTGACATGTTCCTTCATCAACATGAACAGAAACAGTTTATTTTGAACCACATATACCGTCCGGCTGCCCCAAATACTCACTAGACGACCAAATGTGGATTAATCCGCTGCTGAAAATAGTCCCCAACAAATGCAGCATTTCCTTCTGTTTGAGTAACGTCAGCTAAAAACTACAGTGAGCAGCTGTTTTCATTTTCAGTAGAAATTAATGGACTTTGGGATGAAGGTCACAGACAGGGTGGGAAGTTGCCAAGTACTAGATGTGATGTATTGTTATTGCACTGCTGGTTTTGTTTTTTAACAAAAATATGGAATATAAAAAATATTGCAGTGTCCTTTTACTCAAACTAGATGATGATGAACAGATTTCATGGGTACTTCCCTCAAAGCAGGGGCTTTTGGGGTAAATTTAAACCATGTCCTGGGTTCCTGGAAATGTTCCTGAAGCCAGTGGCTATAGGTTGAGATTTTATCAGGTCTTTCCTAAAACAGTACTGGCATTCCCACTTGTATGTCGAAAACGTTATCTCTTCCTAAAGCATTTTTAATATAAGAGCTCAGGGTCCATAGTCCTGGGGCCTCATTTATAAACAGTGCGTACTTACAAAACAGGGCTGGAGACGTGTGTACGCGAAAGCAAAGGTTGTGATCTATTAAAAAAAACAAACTTGACAGGAAAATGTGTGTTCGTTCACGCAAACTCTGAAGCATGTGTACGCACATAAACTGGAGAAACAGCAACTCACATGGCAGAAGGATGAAATGGTTTGAAATGATTAGGCCTACTATTGTGTAAAATAAATCGAAATATTATCTGAGCATTATAGGCTTAAAGCTTTTTTGGATAAACAAACAACCATTTGATTTTTCCCTGAAGTGCGCAAAAATACATCATTTAAGATCATTTGCAGCACACAGAAGAACCAGATTTAGGATAATAAACACAAATGGAGAGAGATGTTTCAGCAAAAGAATGCCTCAAATGTTTTAAACGCACCGTTTTATAAGTGTGAATACTTTTTAGTGTACGCCATTTTTGGCTTTTAGGCACATGTGCACTTTTAGGCACATGTGCACTTTTAGGGAGGCACAGTTTTATAAATGAGACAACTGGTTCTGTGTTAAAAAAAAATCATCTTTAGTTATAAATATCTAAAATATCTATTATTCCCTTTCAGATTTAGTTTTTTGTGCTTCCATGGACTGTTTGAGATTGTAACCTTTACAGTGACCAATAAATCTTTCAGTGTATTGTAATACATATGTAATATGGGTATGTGCGTATAAGAGACTAGAAAAATGTGAATCCTTTAAAAATATACATACATATTAGGGCTGAACAATTAATTGAAATCTTAACATCACAATATGGTGTAATAGTTGTTAAAGGCAAAATGTGTGTCAAAATAGCATTTTAAATTGTGCAGAGATGTCCTGGCCTTCACACCATTATTCTACAGACTTAAGAAAACATCTTTGTTTGGTGCAGATCCTTGCAAAAACCACACCATAATCATTTAAATGTTTTTCACCAATATCGCAAATCATATTGCAATGTCAGTCAAAATAATCTCTATTAGATATTTTAGCAAAATCGTTCAGCCCTAAAATATATGTAATATTTTTTGTCTCCTTGTCAGATGTGGAGGCGTTCGCCAGAGCCATGCAGGGCAGCAAAGCAGACTCCAAAGAGAAGAAAGAGGACGACGAGGACATGAGTCTGGATTAGAGCTCACACTGCCATGCCTCAACTGAGTGCCTATAAAAATCTGTTATTCCTTCCCTTCTCTATATTTTAGTACATTTTCTTCTCTTTAATGTTGTCTTACTTTTTTCTATACCAAAGGCAACACTCTGCTTCTACTCAGGATGAACAGCACAGGGCTATCAGAGCTGTTAACACCAACAGCTGTTTTATTCTGTTGATCATCAGTTTTGTGAATGATTAAGCCTTATGTTTGATTTTGTTTTCTTTGTTGTTGCACCACAGTTGAGACAGTCAGAGCCTTAGTGATTTACTCTTGATAAAAAAAAAAAAAAAAATCATATTGGCAAACAAACACTAGAGTTCAGTTTGTATGAAAAACAAATTTTATTTAGAAATACATTTACAACACATGGAGGGGCAGGAGTGAGGGGGAGGGACAGCTTATTCTTTCTGTGAGATTTTTAAAAAGTGGTTATTATATCATTATATACAAACTTCACACGTGTTTGGTTCATGTATACATATGACAGATTGGATGAGAAACGCTGCCTGAAACCTGGACAGGAGCCGACAGGTGGGAAATGGCAATGAGTCCTGTGTTTAACAACGACTTAATCTGACAAGTCAAGACTGTTTTTTTTTTTTTGTTGTTTGTTTTTTTAACAGAGTTGGGGTGTGTGAGGATTTCAGATATTGTGCATTGACACTATATTCATTACATTTGGCATTCTTGGTCATAATTAAAACCTGGATGTTGACATGAAGACTCAGAAATTCAAATATGACCTGAATGCAGTATTTTCACTAAGGTTGATAGAAAAGGTAAATATGATCTCTGGAACTTTCCCCCCCCCCACCCAAAGAAACAAAACTTAAATTATGTAATACAATTATGTGTAGGGGAATTAGTAAGTGGATCTTGGCCTAAATGATAGTTGCTTAAACAATTTTGAAACCTGATAGAAAATAATAGAAAATAAAGGCCATTATACACAAGCAACGTTTTCAAACAATGTAGATGCTATTCCATATCACAGAACGTATTTGAGGAGAATAGTACTGGAACGGCCAATGAAACAGCAGCTGTTGGCTCCATTTGGTGTGTTAAATTAGTTCATCTTCACAGCATCACTGAGACTTAATTAACTCTGATATTCCCAAGGGTGCAGTCCTGGTCCCTGTTACAGGTAACATTGCCCATCTGCGCTGCCGGACGACGTTGCTCGTACATTAGTGTTCACAGTGTACAGACTCAGTAGGTATTCTTAACATTCTCTGCTAGGGATGCACGGCACACAGCTGGAGACATCATTAACTTTACTGCAGATTCGGGGAATTTGTTTTGGGGCTAGAGGACAAAAATAATTGACATGATTTAATTTTCACCAAAACCAAGAAAAATTCAGCTGCGTTGCCTTTATTTACAATATACTACACGTTTTATAATTGTTTTGTGATTTTAGATTTGACGTCGTGTACCAGTCTCTTGTATCAGTGCATCTCTGTGTGCAGACACTGTTGTAGCACCCTGTAGCACAAAAACAGCGACGAACGGGAAAATATAAAATATACCTTTTTCTGAAAATAGAAAATAAATATTAATATATATTTTTTAAATAAGCTACAGTAACATGACACCCACCACCAGTAATGTGTAGTTGGGGAATGTGAGGATAAGACATGTGTTGGATCTACATCTGTGGACAGCCCTGCGTCCCCACTGCTCCGTGCACAGCGAGCGGTTTGGACAACATGGCAGGTCTGTGGTTGACAGATGCTTGGCGGATGCAGCCCTGGAAGGCTGGCAGGCCGGCACGTAGACCAGGAACTGTGATGACATCTGGTGGCCGGACAGAGGAACACGTTACTCCAACTGATCAACCAAACTCGTGTCTATCCCCAACCACAAAATCACATCCACCTTGCGTCAAGATCAAGCAGAACTTTATTGTCCCCTAAGGGAAATTTGTCTTTGGCATCAACCATGCAAGGCTGCAGTAACACATATGGACTTCACAATCACATGCATCTTACAGTCCTTAACGTACATTTATATTGCATTGCACAAGTATATGAGTTACTACCATCCATCAGTAATTCATTACTAGATAAGTAGAACCTGAATAATCTTAAAGACTGAATTATTTTTTGACTTAAAGCAATGAACAATAGAACAAACAATAAAATAAAAAATGCAAATTCTAAAAATATAAAAACTAATTTAAGATCAAGGTTGTTAAAAATCACTGGTAAAAGCAGTCACAATTAATAGTGAACTATACTTAAAACTCAAGTGCTTCAAGCTAGCTTGTTTTGAGCAGGATAGTTTATTAAGGACAGCAATGGAAGTAGGGATAAAGGAAAGCTTATCGCAGCTACTTTTGCATCTGCTACCTCCATAGTGTTTCCCCAAAAGTAATACTTCATATTATTCCATATTGCAGAATATGGGAAGGGTCCATCAGAATTTTATGTGCCTGGGAGACTACCATTTTTTTCATAGATGGTTTAGAAGGAAGTGTAGACTTTCTTTCCCATAACTTTCATCTCATTAGTCAACAACCTGTAACCTCATGAATGAGTGCATGTTCCCTGGTAGAGAAGTGCAGTTGCATTGTACAACATAGTATTACCACCACTGTTAGGGGGGCTTAGATTATAGAGAGATAGAGACTTTTGAAGTTGTGATCTTTTTAGAACTAGGTCAACATACAGAACATTTATGCTATAATTGGATTAATTGATAGTTTGGGTCGTTTATTAAGCAAAAATGCAGAAAACTTTCAGTTTCCAGGTGTGACATTTGTTGCTTCTCTCAGTTTCAGTTGTAAATTGAATATCTTTGGTGTTTTGAGCCCTTAGAAACAAACAATTTCAGGACATCGCCTTGAGCTGTGGAAATTGGCATTACTATTCTCCGCCATTTTATAGATTAAAAATTGAATCCATTTGTCGAAAAACAAGAGAAACAAATTAACCAACAATGAGAATAATTGCAAAAAGTTGCAATCCTAAGACTTTCATAAGTTATATCACAAGAATGGAGTTAATTTTATGGGAAAAAGTAATCATAAAAATAAGCTAAATAATAACCAAAAAATATCACAATATTATGGAAAAAACTATTGTGAGAATAAACTATGGTTAGAATTATGAGTATATAGTAAACAGATGAGGGGAGTCAGTTAAGATTAAGGTTTCGGAGGATCTATTGAGGTTTCACCAGTAAGGAAAGACTTCATCGGGACATTAAAATGGCTGGGCTTGATCAACATCAATATGTTTGCCTATGATAGCAGACCGTGTTGCCAATCCTAACTTCCCACCTTTTTGTGTTTAAGTCCAGCACGAGGCTGAAACAGCATCAGGAGAAAGAACATGATTTTGGCATTGTGCAAAGGAAGATGTGCGTGTACTCACCGGGTACCCCTCCAAGGTAAACAGTGTCTTTGGCCCCTGCAGAGCGGCCCTGTTTGGGGCCGACGCTGTGCTCGCTGGCTGCATCGACATTGAGCTGCAGGACGTTGTTCTTCTTCACCACTGCAGACAACACAACATTATGTCAGCGTTACAACATGGGCAGCAACACAGCGACAGGGTCAACAGAAGCATTTGTTGAAGTTAACTCACCTTTGATTGTGTGCCAGCGTCCATTACATAGAGGTTCTTCAGGAGTGAAGGAGGTAGAGAAATCACCTTTGCCGCTGTTTACTGAAACAGTCACCTACACACACACACACACACACACACACACCCCTCATTGTTAGCTTTTGTTTTTGTTTTATTAGGTTCAATAATAATTATTTCTGCTTTATTTTTCTTTTACAATTCGCTAAAAATGTCCCTCACTGCCGTGGTCTCACCTCTCCCTGGCTGAGGACCAAACTCAGGTATTGGTCAGATGAGGTCCCAGCATGCAACAGCAGCCCAGAGTCCGAGACTGGTCGAACCTCCAACTGGATTTCTAGATCCCGACCCAGAACTAAGGACTCGTCTGCGGGGGGAGAGAGAGCCTTCAGTCGGGACACAACAGCAGAGCAGGACCCAAACAAGACTGAAATTATTTAAAGTAAATACAGCAGGAGAGTGACGATGACTACCTATTGCGATGTGTCCTCCCTGACCAGAGAAATACGCTCCGGGTTGCAAAGGATTTTGGAAGCAGGGCACCGTCCCCTGGCTGTGGGCGGGGCTTCCCACAGGGGCTTCGTTTAGCGTCAGGTCCCTGACGCATCCGACGAAACCACCAGAGCCCGGGGCCTGAAGTTTAAGACAAAACAGTACAGACGCAACACGTTAAGAAGAACAGAATAGATGATGAAGGTGCATTTTTAGTTTTTGAGTCAGTGTGTAAACGTCTCATTTTTTTGGCTACTTGATTTAAAGGAAATTTCATTTGTACAACTTGTGTCTTATTTTTGTCACCTTTAACATTTTGTTTGCAGAAAAACGTGACTACCCCCATTAAAACTGAGGCAGCCTCTTTATTCTGTGCTACCACTGGGGATTTTGAACTTTTATCCATATCTGCCCAGAAGCTAGTGAGTAAATACCATAAATCATAGGAATCGTGGCCAGATTTATGAAAACAAGAAGCTGGACAAAAAAAGCTGGACTACGCACCAATTAGATATCGTATCATTCATGGATGATGGTGCCAGATTAATAGTGGGTGCTTCATGACACAGGTCTACATATTACAGTAGAACAAACCCAATCACACACTCTAGTGTAGCTGTTGTCCAGCCATGCGACTGACTAGGGGTTTGTAATTTGTAGTCTGCGGATTTTTTTTTACCGTCATTGAGGGCGGTACTCCTCCGACATATAAAGGCCCGGTGAGACGAGTCCTGTCCCTGCCCCCGGGGATCCTCTTAAACTGAGCGTTGATGCCGTCCACTATCAGGCTGATCTTCTCCCCTTCGCGCTTTATAAACACCTGAAGTGACATAAAGACAGAGAGAGAGCAGGTTAGAGATGTTTTTGTGACAAAACTACTAAAAGAAGGGTTTGTATATAAATATGTAAATGTTTATTTTGGTACTTACTGTCTGGGTGATATGACACCCCTTAATAGAGTTTGACAGAGTGTCTCCTATTATATTGTTTTACTTAAAACTGGAAAACAGAAAGCAGCCTGTTGCAACCAAATTATCTAAATGTGACATGGATTTGTTTCCTGGGTAGTCCAATCGTGTGACCTCACCGTGTGCCACTGGTCGTCGTTGTACTTGTTGCGGCTGCGCACGCTGACCTTCCTCTTTCCTGCGTCCAACAAAAGCAGCAGGTGGCCGTCTGACACGCTGAGTGACATCACAGCCGCGCCGCGCTTCCCGCCAGCTGCGTAGAGCACCAAACCATCAGAGGAGTTGATCCTCACCGCCATGGAGATATGAAGCCTGCGGAGAGAGAAAATTAAAATATTAACTTACAAATGATTCAGAACATCCAAAATTATTTAACATTTTTGGCACAAGAGAACTCCACATTAAGCTCAAAAAAGACACTTTCTTGTCTTATAAAGTTGTTATTTTTTGCATGTTATCAAACAGATCTGTATTTAGTCATCCACCTGAGGCAGAGTCGATCACTTCACTGCAGTCCACCTCATGGCCTTTGGTTTGAGCTCCAACAACTCCAAAGAAAAATCTCTTTGATTTTTAGCTTCTAAATTTTCACAATGAAAATTATAATGTGCTGATATTAAGCAAGTGTAATGTTTGCCTGTTTATAATCTTATTTTAGCATGTTAGCATGCTGACATTGCTAATTAACACACATTTCATTAGGTGTTGACATATTTCTGCCTAGAACAAAATGGTGGGTCATCAGACTGTCACTGCTGCTGACATGGCTAGTAAAAACATCATGATGAGACACAAAAGATAATTTTACTATAAACATGAAGCATTTTTAAAAAGAGAGCAAAATGCACAGACATAATCTATTATAAACTGTTTTCTGCTTGAGGCGAGAGTTTTTCCCAGTAGGGCGGAAACTTAATTTACAGTTTGTGTACACACTCACATTGTGTTGAGCGAGCTGGGCAGAGAGTCGTATCTCTGGTAGCTGTGTGTGGAGCCGCTGAAGTGTGTCGCTCCGGCCTCCTGCTGTGAAAGCTCTCCCTGACAAGACTCCCTGATGTTACGACTGCGAGACCCCGACGGCTTCTTGTGCTTTCCCTGAGAGAGAGAAAGATTTATTTTGGGTTTATTATTGGGTACAGGGGTTTGCTTGTTCTGTCTACAGTGTTTGTGAGAGCTTGCTTTTGTAATTATACCTTGGGTTTGCTGCTCTGTTTGGGCTGGGAAGCGACGATCTGCTGAGGTTTTTTGGCAGCCGGACACTTCATAGGAACGTTGACGTTTTCTTTAGCCTTCAGCAGGTTCAACACCATCTGAGGACTCGTTTTCCTGAAGAGACAAACACATATTTTATACCGAAAATACACTCAGCAGATATAATATATCAATACCTAAACTCTCTCTGTCTATGAACTAAAAACTCCTCCTGCTTAAACCATCAGACGAAATAACCAGATATCTCACCACCATCTCATCATCTGTGGAGTGAAGCATGAGAATATACTGTAGATAGGAACAGACCACATGGTCTCTGCAGGTCTTGAAATGTCTTAAAAAGCAGTTTGCTCAAAATAAGGCCTTAAAAAAATATTAGTTTTACAAAGGTCTGCAATTTTTATTCTTGCTGGCCGTAGACACTTACATTAGTTATAATGTTATAATACACTGTCACTACTACTAGCTACAGTAGCATGAAGTCTCATGATGGCAAGTTTCGATTAATGCAAATAATGCAAATTAATGCAAATTGTAATAAAACTATTTTTTAAAATTGCTTAATCCAACCATCAATTTTCTGCAACTTACCTGGGTCCAACTCCCGTTAATTCATTAATTACATTACTTGGAATTCTATACAGCTGGGAAGTACTGGAAAGCATGTGATTTAATGTCAGCAAACTCATAATCTCTCTCTTAATAAATAATTGTAGGCCTTATTATCCCAACTTTGTCGCCAAATCTATGAAATTGCATTCTATGTTGTATTAAGAAGGTCTCATTTAATGAAGCCCTGCACAAAGTTTCAGCTTGCTCCTTGCTAACTTCTATATCTCCTTTCTTTTGTGGGCAAACCTGTTTACCTCATCAGTAGCATATTAAGATGTATTATAGGTGTTTAATGTTGACATATTACAACATGATAAATGAAGTTCTATGCTGCTCCGGCTGAGTGTTGATGGAAATCACATTAATGTTAGCTAACTACACTGACAACGGAGCAAATGGTCCACCTACACACAAACTGTCCAATCAGTAACAACATGCCCTCTCGCGTTATTCATTTGGACATGAAATAATGTATGTCATCAGGTATCTAATGATATTCCTTTATCGAGTTAGCATTTTTCCTGAGCCACTAACACACTACATGTAGATGAGTCACAGATCACAAATACAGTTGTGGAGATCAGAATAAAATACACCTTATGTTGATCATAATCTAAAGCTGATGATACATGGGGCAACTTTTTGAGCAATGCTGCTTGGCAATCTTGCTAGTGGCAAGTCAGACTATGTTTTGAACTTTGGATTGTGGCAGTGCGGGGCGGGTGGCGGAGTGGTGGGGGAAGGGGAGTAATTACGTTAGTAATCTTTACTCGTTACCATTGACAGCAACGTTGCCCTGCACGACTGCTCTAAAAGTTGCTCCGTGTATCATCAGCTTAAGACTGTGTTGCCCCCTGTGATGGTAGAGTGCTTTCTTTTGATGACGTTATTTGAAAGTTTTGTGACTGAACTGTGCTGCACCTCCTGCCCTCTCTTCTCACCTCTTGATGAAAACATTGCGGATACATCCTGTGAGATTGGTAAAGATTTTGTCGGGCATTCCTCCCAGGAAGGTGCTTCCCTCTGTGTTTGACAACCTGACGTCATGCTGTCTGGTCACCTTTGCCTTCTCCAGCACGTCGTCCATATACAGACGCATCCTGGAGGGAGAGCAATCAGTCAGCGCACAGTTTCTGTTTGAAAGGTGCTGGGGGGGTATATAAAAAAGTTATCATCCTACTCTGTGACATTGTAGTAGATAGCGACGTTGTGGCTGTTGTCATCATTGTACGTCTTCTCTGTCTTAATCTCACTGCTGCCAGTTTTCACCACGATGTGGCCCTCATTCAACAACACCTGACAGACTCCTTCCTGTACACACACACACACACACCAGCCACAGGTAAGGTGTTTGTTGGAAAGACAACATACAAGAAGGTGATACTTGAAAGTCGAAGAGACCAAAGCAGGACAAAGGAAGACGTCATGGAAAATACTTATTGAGCAAGAAAGACAGCTGTTGTTTAGTCTAAAGAAACAAAAAGACACACTACGAGAAAAGGAAACAGGAAGAGTTGGGAAGCCAGTCCGACCTGATCATGGTGGTAGAACATGAGTCCCTCCTTCTGCTCAGTTCTGAAGCTGAAGCTGGCGTAGAAGTTGTTCGTAAGGCTGAGAACGTTGGTCACATCCAGGTCCAGGTAGCTCTGACCAGAGAAATGAGCCTCACGAGCCACCTGCGCGCACACACACACACACACACACACAACCACACAACCACACAGGTCAAGACAAACTGTATTACTGCGCGTTTGTGTTTATTTTTATTTCTACATCTCAGCACAAAAACGCAGAAAACTTTCCACATTTTCAGTTTGAATTGTGTGATCATTATATTGGCTGTTGGATTACAAGAATCATGTAAATTTTTTAAATTATTTGTACTCTTTTACAACTCTTAGGAGTTTCCTTTATAGGGAAATTTGGCAGCTTAGTATAAAAGAAAGCTAGAGGAGGGAAAACTGCTTTAAACCTAAGAGTCACCAGCTTAATAAGTGTCACAGCTAAATCACTGTTTTACAGTACAGTCTGTGCTAAACAAACAATATTATCCTTTGAAATCCCAGCTGTTTTTTGTAGCTCCAGCAGCTGCTTTTACACAATCTGTAATCGGTTTGGCAGCTTAATGAAGAGAGAAAGAAGAGATACAAGCAAAGTGACAAAAAGGACAAAGACAGGTACTGTAGGGAATTAGGCAAAAATGCACGAGAGTGGTTCAGAAATTATCTTTCAAACAAAACACAAAGTTGCAAAGACCAAAAATGGTGCAGCACAAGTTTCTATTAGTACACTGCGTTTTCAGGTATTAAACAATCAAAAAGAACACTCAGTCAGCAAAGATTAATTTGTATGTGGATCTAAACTATACAATCACCCGTCTACATCCAGCCATTACTGACCTCCAAACTGTCTTTCACACACATCAGTTATAATTTTACCAACTAAAACTAACCCGTAATACATGAAAAAGTCTTTCCCATTCTATACAAAAGTAGATACTATTATTCACCAAACACTAGACGCAACGGAATTAGAAAATGTCTAATGTCTTTGTAAGTTTAAAATATTTTATGGACATTATTTTGTACATAAAATAATATTTATTTCATAGCCAAATATCTGAATGGCATCTTGACATCAGTAGAGTAGGCATAGTGTAAAATGCATCTAAAGTTACTTTAGCTGTTAAACAGGTTGTCTTTTTTAAAAGACTAGCTAAATAAAGGGTGAATAAAAAAAAAAAAGTAGTAGCAGGGACAATGACTAAGAGTTGACATTGTTTTAAATAGAAACGGTGTGCATCAAATATACACTTTAATGCCATGGAAAATGGAAAACATTGCATTTACTCCTTTTTTTCACAAGCTGAATGGTGAGCTGTGTTTTCCTACCAGCAGGTCACTGTCACAGCCGAAACTGACTCCGGAGGATGTCATCCTCTTCAGGTCGATGTGCGAGTTCTGGGCCTTCACGTTCCTGAAACAGCCCTTCAGAGAGCCCTGCTTAGTAAACGTAGACTTCAACCTGAAAAGGGACAGAGGCAGAATGAATCAGACAGAGAGGGAGATGGAGAGCTCTTAAAATGACCTTTTTTGTTATGTAAACACCCTGCAAAACACACATCCAGCAAACAGTCGCCGACTTTCAGTTACAGCAAACATGGAGCAACATTTCATTAATTCAAATTCCAACAGCTACTCTCACATTAGCCCTGTTTTGGTCTAAACCAACTCCTGAGTAAAATACCTAACTTTGTCTGTCCTCTGTTGGTAGGTAATGTGTTGGGTTTTATCTGAGTGAACGTGTCTTTAAGCTGTCATAGCAGATTTGTCCTGTAAACTGTGTTATAAACCATATACCAATATGTTAACTTCATACACATCTAAAGTTAATTTCACATGTGTAAAACTTGTGTGTGTACTTGGCTGACTGGGGTAAACAAGGGTCAGTGTGTGTCAGCTGAGAGACAGGGAGCATTGTGAGGTTGGCTTTTCACTGCTCGGCATGGCCGTGATGTTAAGGAGGTGCACTCAGGGCGGCTATTTAGCCCTGTTTTCATTGCCATTGTGGACTCAGGGCACTATCTTAGCTTAGCATGTTAGATGATGATGATGTTGCTAGAGGAAAACGTAAAGGTGAACAAAGATATTACAGTTCATCCTGTAGGAAATATGAATATCTGCACCAAATTTCATGGCAGGATGATAAGAAAAATGTGTGCATGTGTGTGTACTACTCACTTTGCAGGCATCTTGGACTCTGGTACTCCTCCCAGGTAGTAGCTACCACTGAATGGGGGGGGGTCCTCTTTGAAATCCTGGGTATAGAGGCCTATCCGGTTGGACCTCACCACAACACGTTTCGTGGATGAACGCAGGATGATAATCTCCAGCTACACAGTTTAAAGAGCATAACAAGTAGCGTGTTTTATCGCAGCAAACAGGCAGTATGTGGAGGATAATGCCATGCATAAGCAGCTTTAAGCTGGGATATGATACGTACAGAAAGTAGTAACTCTTAATAAATCGACCTGGGAAAGACAAAGACAGACAGAGGGACAGACACACATGGCAGACTTACAGTTTTGGGTTCGGAGTCACTGATCTTCAGCAAGTCAGATGAAAGATCTTTAGGCTCCATCTCCTCCAGATTACCACTGAAATCAAAGAAAACCTTCAGGGTGCCCCGAAGCACCGCCAAACACAGGAACTGATTCTGATGGAGGACAGAGACATGGAGAAAAAAAAACTGAGAGAGCACTTCCAGCTGTCTCGGAAATTTTGTCATGATGCAGTCAATATAAAAATAATTGGAGCCTAACCAATCTGATAACTATCAGCCAAAGATGAACAAAGATTTTGATAACCATCCTTTAAATGTGTTTTATCCAGTGAAACTATGTAACAGAGACACTGTTTCTAAACTAATGCAAATATGTTGGGTATTTCTGTACTGCAAATTCTTGTTTCTTATAGCAACATGGCAACATCCTGAAAGCAATCAATAAATCAAATGCTCTTACAGAAAAATAAAACAAATCCAATATCTGTGGCGGTCGCAGGACATTCCAGAATAAATGAATGAGGGTTGGAAAAACTTTATTAGTGAATACATTATTGATGTACTATAAAAGAAAAATGGATGTTTGTTTGACAGAGTAAATGAATGAGTGAGTGAATGAGTGAAGTATTTACCCCGTTTTGCAGCAGGAGCAGTATTCCATTGTGTGAGAGCAGTTTGACTTCCTGTTCAAAGCGCTGCATGCGTACCATTTCATCAGTAAAGGTGATCTCAGAGTAGCCGGTACCATCAAAATACGCTGCGTCATTCACCCAGGCCTGAGTCAGCACCGGTTTGGACCTGTTTTAGCATTTTTATTCCAGTTAGAATCAACATTCAACAAACACTTCCAAATGATAGGGTGACGCTGAATGCACTGACCTGCCACAAGGCTTTTCCTCTGTGGTGTTGAGTTGGAAAATGTTTTCAAAGTTATACAGACTGAGCACATGCTCGTTGAGCGTGTCAAGCTCGATACAGCCCTTGAAGTTAGGCAAAGCGAGCGGGGAAGGAGGCTATAAAAACAGAGAAAAGAATAAATTAGAAGCCAGACGCATATATGAATATGAAAATAATTTACATCAACCCTTCTCAGATTTCCTCAAAACTCCTAAATTTATACTGTGTCAGTGTGCAGCTAGTGTGAGCAATAGGAGCTAAAAGGCTGAGTGACTCAGTTAACTGATTATTAATAATTAGCAGTTTGAAGGCTTTAGTTTGGGCTTTGGTAACTTGTTAATGGCCATTGCCATAATTCCATACATCAGAGAGAGTAAATAATTAAATTAAAATATAATGACCTGCCAAAGTGAATCCGTTTAGCTGAGTCACTGTTTTATTTTAAATAAAGATTATTCTTCTTATTATTATTTAATAAAGCAGCTGCTGCCTGATCTGTTGTCATCATCCTAACCTTTCTGATTTACTACATGATAAAACTCTAATTATTTCAGAAATAGGGAGACAACTACAATGAAATGGAAGAGCAGAGGTGGAGTGACTTCTATAGATTTAAATTAGGGGTTTCCCACATGACTGAGCCCACAATCCTTCATATACTTACTGTGAAAGTAGTAGGGTATCCTCCCACATAGAAGACAGTATCGTCGGTTAAAAGGTTGAGCAGCCCCTGATCTCCTTTAGCCTCGACATAGGCTTTGGTGATTCTCTGGTCCCCCTCACTGGCTTCAGAAGACATGGACATTTGACCGTACTGGAGGATCCTGTATTCACCCAGACAGACAAATAGATATACATAGAGAATAAGGACAAAATGTATGATAAACAAATGTATGCAAGTAGTCAGGAAGGCTGCATGACAGGCATGCAAGCATGAGCACTCAAGGGTTTGACAGCTGACATTTTCTGTCAGTCAATACCCTAACTAGCATAATGAATTGAAATGTTTGTAGGCATACATGTGTTTCTGAAACAACATTTACAGCAACTCTGGACATTTAAAGTCAGTAGCATTGGTTTAACTGTAATAAAACAAGATATTTATAAGAAGGTGGACCTTTCTTGAAAAAAACTGTACAGTTAGAGACAAGGTTAAGATTTGAAAACCAGGATATTTTACTGCAACTTGCTTACATTATCCAGGTGTAAGACACCTGGTGTAAAACATCCTGTGAGCCAGGTTATAACAAACATACAGTAAACATTTATTTATTTAATATTTCACTGATTATGCTCTTTCAAGTTGGAAGAAAAATGTCATGTCATTATGTGAAAATCCTCTGAATAACAAAACACTGAAAAAAGACAAAAGTTTATAGAAAAGCAATTTCAACAATGTTCATGTTACCATTTCATCACGTATGCATAGACATGTTTGTGTCTGTGTGTGTTACCTCTCAAGCACTACGCTGTTGAAGTTTCCATTAGACATGACGTCTTCAGTCATCAGCACCTCAGCAGTTTCTCCTCCAATGTTAAAATACCAACGCAGTCTCTTCCCCTCCAACGCCATGCCCAGGAACTCCTTAGTGGACTACAAATACCAGATAAGAGTAATCAACTACAAAAACCCATATCATAATCATAGTCAAAATCCTTGCAAAGGATCTCCTTATCTGACTACAACTCAGAGAAACTCTTTAAAGTAACTCATCACCAACAAAACAGAGAACATATGAAAACAGAGAACATATGAAGAACGTAAGAACTGTGTGTGTGTTATATATATATATATATATATTTTATAGACTATTTTTTTTTTTTAATTTACTTCATAAAATACCCCACAAAAAAAGATTAAATATATAAAATAAAAACACAAAACAAAATTAGCTTCTATGTTGTCATTGTGATGCTTACATCTTTGTTGCCAAGGTATAACACAAACTGTCGGGTGTTGTCGTCTTGCCGCCTGGCTCGTGCCGCCTCTGGCAGAGTGATGTAGAGCTTCAGGGAGGTGTAGGCAGCCAGGTCGGCAACGTTATGTGGAGTACGGACCTGAACACCAGACCGCCCGTTAAACTTCACCGGGACGGCCACCTGGATGGAAGAAAGAGGAGGAGAAAAGGCAATAAAACACATTAGAGGCTGGAAAAAAATCCAACTTCGGATGTTGTTTTTTTGTGTGTGTGTGTGTGTGTGCGCGCACCTTGCTGGCAGCGTTGCGCGCCTGCTGAATGAGCTGTCGGATGCGGTTGATGTTCTCAGAGATGTTTGGCATCTGGGCGGAGTGACTCTGTAGTTTATCCAGCTTCTTCATGAGCATAGGAATAGTCTCACCCAGCGTTTGCACTTCATAGAGAGGTTAAGAGAGTTACATTAAGAGACAGTCCAGTTTTATTTCGCTAATAACTTAATAGTTTCTTGTTCTGAATGTTTATTACGTTAGATTTAGTTTATTGCTTCTGCATATTTGATGTCTGGCATTAGTTAATATGAAAGTTAGAACAGCTTAATTCCATTTTATGTTAGTTGTGTGCTTTTATTTGCCTCATTGCATTGAAAGGTCTTAATCCTGGGTCAGCAATGTAAAACACTGTCATTTTGTTTTGAAAATTATTACTGCCGCAATTTCCAAGAAGAGAGGTGAATATATTGGAGCAATCAGTAAGTTGAAGATATTCTTTCCTCAAATTGCTCATGGCTCAAATAGATTCACTTTAGAATGATATGAAACAGAGAAAAGCAGAAAATGGATGGACAATTGACTCAAACAATTGATCAGTGATCAAGAAAGATTCCATTTTATTTTATTCTATTTTTGTCAGTTGTATGATTTTTATTAGAATAGATGACTAGTAAAAATTAAGTTAAGTTAAATTAATTAGTTGGAATCTTTTTGTATCTTTGAAGCCATCTATGTGGATTAATAGGAAAATGGGGTTGAAGAGGCTAATGCAGTAAACATGGCAATGTGGCAGTAGGCATATTAGTTAAAAATGTATGTGTGTAGAAATCACACGATTAAACACAAACTGTGGGTAACAACAAAAGTATTTTTGTGGGATGTTTCTTCTGTGATATATTTGCACACATTTAAAAGCTCCCACCAGTGTTATTGGCCTCCATCAGGGCGTTGTTGATATCTTCGTTGGTGGCGTTTGCGTCCCCGTAGGTCTGCTGCCATTGGTCCAGCTGCTCTTTAATGGGACGCAGGGCATCGTTGATCTGTGTGACCGTTGTGTTTGCCAGCTCTGCTGCTTGCTTCGCCTCGAGAATCTCTTGACTCGCATCTGTTCATCGCAGAAAATACCAAAAAAAAAAAATCATAGAAGAATGGTAAGAATGAATAAAACAAATCAGTACTTAAAATATGATTTATCTTCACACACACAAAGAACTATACACACACAATATATGTCAGATTACTACATTAGTTTAAATACTGCATGCATTCATTAAGATTCTGGTCAGAACTTCAAGGCTTCCCACGGATGTATGTGTGTCAGTGTTTGTGATTGTGTTGAATGTGCGTACTTGTAGTGAGGTTGAGGTTGTTCTGAACTGTCTTCAGGTCCTTCATGACATCAACCTGTTTGGTTTTGGCGTCATCCAGTCGCCTCTGAGCATCTTCCACCTGCGGCTTTAGATCTGTACAGCAGAAAAACTTTCAACTACTAAAACATCCAAACTGAAGATTTAAGTGTCTAGAAGACTCTACATTTACTTGATTTCATGACCTGCCTTATATAAAACACTTAAATTAGGAAAATTATGTAAAGATGCGAGTTTACCATTGTTGAGTTCATCATTTAGCTTTTCGACTTCCTCCTTCAGCTTCACGCTTTGATTCCTTAGAGAATCAGCGATCTGACTAAGATTCTGGTCCTTTAATTTCTAAACAGACAAACATAAATATTACAGGCCAGGTATTAACAAATAAATTACTTAAGCCAGTTCTTTATGCAATTTTTAATTAGTGCACAATGTGCTCATACAGGCCGTGTGCGTGTGTGTCCTGTACCTCCAAAGTGTCATTAGCAGCCTTGTCGGCGATCTTGGCAGCCTCCTCTGCCTCCTTGATGCTGTTGATGATGTTGTTATAGGAGTGTGTTACATCCACAAATCCGCCCTTCTTAGTTTCTGCAACCAAACTGCAGACAAACGAAAACAACAAGTCGTAATGATTTTAAACTTGTGATATAAAGTATATGGAAGATTTTGAACATCTTTGCTAACTTCTGATATTATTTACGTCACCACAGTGTCCAGCAGTGAACCTTGTTTGTCTGCCTCCATTATAAGATTAACTATCTTAATATCCAGTCAAAGCTGAGTAGCTAGCTCGTCTCTTACCTGGACAGGTTCATGGCTAAAGCGTTAAGCAGCTCAGCGTGTTTCTCCGCTTGCTCCACCAGGGGAATTTTGGAGTCGACCCAAGCAAAGTTTGCCACTTTCTTTGCCAGTGGGGCCCTGGCCCCGTCCAACTGGGCCGCTAACCGCTCGTACTCCTGAGAGAGATGTTTCAAGTGTTTAAGAGACACATACGGTACAAGGGCAACATCTCTAGTTTGATTCCAGATCCAGATAAGGACCTCTGTTACGTGTTATCACGCCCCCCATCTGTCCCTGCAATTCTTGTCTGTATCAATAAAGGCAAAATGCCACAAAATAATCTCAAACAAATAGATGGAGACTCGCTCTTCTGATCCAAATTGCAGAAAAAATATCTGAACACTGTTTTGTTCATAATGAAGTGTATCCAGAATCTTGCACTAACTTTAAGGAATGTTACTTAAATCCCCCAGTCAAACAGAACCATACATAATTAAATATACAGTCATAGTTAAACTACACTTCAGATTTCGTAAGCTAATGTAAAAGATATTTAATGAATGTCATTCATTACAATTATAATAAATATGTGACAAGTCCCGTTAATGTAAAGGGATGCATGGTGCAGTGAATGCTTCAGTGAACAAACGTGGTAACCAAAATGTGATTCAAACACGGTAAACAAAATCATTTAAAAGACAGTAAACTGCTGACTTTTTATACCAAAAGAGATTAACACAATATCCTGAGAAGATGTTGTCCATCTAGTGTACAAATGTGGTTATACTTTGGGTTTCACACAAAGACTGTGTTGGCTGTGTGTTTCCGAACACTTTCACAGTCACTCACTTTTAAATCTTGACCTGAGCTGGAGTTTCTTTTGTCTTTTGTGAAGTTGCTCAAGAGATTTGGATTACAGTTTGAACACCAGTTGTAAATGTGTTGCAGGTAAGCTTTGCAGAGCTTTGCTACAAATGCTGAAAGGTTTAAATCTGTGTTATAGTTTGTTCGAACCTCCTTGGAGTCTTGCAGCATGGACAGCACATCGTTGACTTGAGCTACATCATCTTCAGCCATCTGTAATTGGTCGTTCACCACCTTCTGTTTTGACAGCAGGTCTTCTATCCTCCTCTGCGAAAGAGAAAGACAGAGGGAGAAAGAGTCAATATCCCTTTTGATCACCGTCCTCTACTCACCATCCTCATCGTTGTTGATGATTTCCCAGCTCACCTTGTTGTCCTCCAGGGTTTTCTCATTGACGTTGTTGATCTCCGCGGCTCTGGCCGTGTTGTTCACAGCTTCGTTCAGGGCGTCTCGGAGATCCATCATTTCAGAGTGGAAGCGGGCCAGACGGTCTCTGATAGCCTTGGCCAAGTCTTTGTTGTCTCCGTGGGGACCTGCCAACTGTTTGTTTACACGATCCAACACTAGCAGAGGACAGAGGGAGACAACACTTAGAGACACTTGCATTTTATTTTCACACTGCACAATTACATTAGAACCAAAGGTTTTAACCTTTTAGCTGTCTCTCAGTGGGGCGTCGGCACTAAGTCAAACATTCACAGACTGATTTATGAATGTAGTATGTGCATTAATAGATTAGACACTCATCTTTTTGGCCATTGTCATTTTCAAAAGCTCAAAAAAATAAATCCAGATGAAATACATGTCAAATGAAACCTTAAAATACGGTTTCTCCATTAGTTTAAAGCATGGCGGTCCAACAATGTATTAAATCCTTAAAGATAATGTTTTCATCTCAAAATTTATCATTTGATTAATTAAGGCTGACAAGTACCAACAAGGAGTTGGGTGTTAAATTAGGGGTCTTTCACACCTGAAGGTCCGAACTGGTTTGGTTTCACTCTGCATTTATATGACTGCACTAAAGGACTTTACATGACAGACCTGCGTCCTGTCGTCATCATCTATGTGGGCTGCGTCTCCCTTTACTTGACATTGATTGGTATGTATGAATGAATGAGGGATGAACATTTAATATCGTTGCCACTGTATTATTATTATGGCAAGGAGGAGACAGCAAGCAATCTTTCTGCATCTCCGTTCAAGGAGAGACCAAAGATGAGGTGTCACGGGAGATTTATAATTGCGTCCTCATTTCAATGCATTTCTCCGTGCATTTGTTTGTTTTCGGTTCACACAGTAACCGCCAAACTTCCTGTAAATGGTGTGAAAGTCAGAACGATCCAAAAAATGCTTTCACACTAGAAATGAACCGAACCATGGTTCAGTTTGATCCGGACCAAGACTAGCTCTTTTCGTCGGACCAAATTTTGGTTTTGGTCCGAACCGTGGTCCAGGGTAGGTTGGTTCAGATCAAATGAGGTAGGTGAGAATGCCCCCTTAAACTATATCCAGCTTAGCTAATTATTATAGACCTTTGACCCTTAAAAAACTGCTGTGAAGATCTCATATTAGTCGTGGTAAATACAGTACTTCATGTATGAATTACAGCATACATGCAAATACATAAAATGTCAGTTCTACTGCCAAGACTTTGGTATCATCGTTGACCAGAATACAAATGACTTTTAAACATCATGTTGCTCAAATCGTCAAAACCTGTTGTTTTCAGCTAATGTCGCTAAAATCTAGATTTTTGTAATGTGTCTCAGTCGAGCTGCTCTAATTTTTTTTCCTTTTTCTTTTTACAGTTTGTTCAAAATGCAGCTGTCAATCCAACATTTCCCCTGTTCTTGCATCCCTCCATTGGCTCCCTGTGAAATTTCAGGATTTCACTTCATGACTTTGCCCTCAGATACATTTCCAATGTCCTTGTCCCTCATTCCATTTGTGACGACTGATGAAAAAATGCTATTTAATGTGCAACTGTTACTCAAGTAGGCATTCTCTATGTAAGCAAATATACTGGTGCCCCGGTAAAACAATTTTCTTCCAACATCTTTCTGCAATGCATAATTTAGTCAGTAAAAACGTGACCTAAACATATTATTATTAATTAATCAACATTTAAACATATTATTTTTAATATTATTAACATTTAAAAAATGTGTACGGTAAGTGTGGGAGGAATTTGATATGTGTTTTGGGAATGTGTGCTTTTGTCTGAGTGAATACACTTACGCTTCTCTGCCTCTGTCTTCTCCCTGTCGGCCAGTTTCTTCTGTCCCACACAGCTCCTGTACCTCATCTCCCTCAGCATGGCCTGCACCTCCCTCATCTTCCTTTCCCTCTCCTCGTCATCCTGCTCGGCCTCCGTGTTGTTCAGGGAGGACCGGTTCGCCAACCGCAGGATATCTGTGGAAAAAATTCAACTGGTCAGTATATTTTGTTTGTGATGAGACAGTAACACAACTTCTATCCTGGTTCATCTTAGGTTTTCTCCACCCGCTACAAAACTCACTTACATATTTTGCAAAATGCTTTACATCTGATCCAAACCAGATTTATGTATTTTTTTTTATGTTTTCATTAGAGACAAAATTACTTAAAACTTACTTTCAACCTTTAAATGATGGTTTGTATAGTGAACAGGATTTAACCTCATAGCTACATAACAAAATAGTTTCATCTAATTGGTGATGCAGCAATGTGACTTATTAATAATCGGCTAGATATTTATGCTTTTATTTTTGATGGACTGTCCTCTGTCCCACCGTTTAAATCCAAGGTAATGTTGTTGATGAATGACAGCAGGTCTTGAGCCCTCTGGTGTGTGTTAGTGGTACTGTCCCGCAGGTCACCAGCCCTGTCAGTCATTGTCGTTGCCTGGAAACACCATAACACATGACACTCTCAGTTTTACATGAAAACAGAGACATTTCAAATACTTTTATTTTGTGATGATAAAGACGACTGTCTGATAAAAGGTGGAGCGAAAACTGGAAAAATTTCCTCATTATTTCTAATCCAAGGAAAACAAAAGCGTTGTTGCTCTTCTACATTCAGATCAACGAACTACACTAAAGATAGAAAAATAATTTAATAAATATATTTACTGAAATCAAAACAAAGACAGCAAGTTTTATGGCTTTCTGCCAGGACTTATATGAAAAAAAAAAAAAAATTATATATATATATATATATATATATAATATGAAATAAGAAAGTATGGGTTAGTGATCCCAATAATTATCAAAGCATTATCTAATTATCACTATGTCACAATATTAAAGATTAGAATTTCAAACATAATTATACGAATATTATTAGAGAATTTTGTCTGAATATAATATAAAGAAAATCAGCAATAAAATGTAATTATTAATGCATAGTGCATTACAATGCAACATTTATAAGCTCCAAAAATAACTAAATTTGTTTTTTATCTTGTCTGGTGGCCCTCTTTTGACACCAACACTGTGCCACTAAGCAAGGCACATTGTCCTTGACTCATAAGATATATACATAAAAGGTGGACTAGATTTGTTTAGCCAAATTTCAGCTTCTATAAATCCAGATTTGGTTCATTCAGATTGCTCAAGAAAGTGTGAGAGTGTGTGTGTGTGTCACCAGTGACCACACCTTCTCCTGCAGTTCATCAATATCATCACTGATATTCATGATGTCAGCATCCAGCAAGTCGGCCCGACTCCTGCTTTCATCCAGCGTACTGTTGTAGTTTTCTATGGCGTTCTGTAATCATGGGAAAATTAGTTTATTACAAAAAAAGGCCTGTATATATATGACTAAGTGTGGCTAAAAACCTGTGTTTCTGTGTGGTCTTGTTTTACTATATTCATTATCATTATGAAAGAAGCGGCTGTAAAAGGGTGGATAAATTTTGTTGAGTTTCACAACCCCCCTGTGAAATGAATCAGAATTTGATAGATTCTGTCGTATAACGTTAGAAGAGGGCTAAACCCGAAAATAGCCACTCTAGTGCGGTTGCTCTATGAGGCGGAGTTAAAGGAAACGCTAGTGCACGTGTGCCTGTGGGGATGCACAATGCGTAAGTGGAGGATACGGGTAATTTTATACCCGGAAGTCGAACTTTTTTGGGGTCAGACGCCACTGACCAGCTTTCATAGAAATTAACAGAGCTCCGCCTCCAACGCTATATCCAGTTCTATTTATACATCAATGAGTTCAACAGCTTTGTGGGGACCAGAATGGGGGACCCCCCCCAAGGCTGTTTGAGGTTTAAGAGTTTGTGTTAGGGTTAGGCACTTAGTTGTGATGATTCAGGTTAGGGTAAGGGGCTGGTGAATGCATTATCTTAATGACGTCAATGACAAAGATGCGTGGCAAAATGGAGTGCGCGTGTACACTCACAGCGATGTCCTCCATTGATTTGTTGAGATTGTGCAGCTGAGCCCAGGCCATGGAGCTGGCATTGAGACGGCTCAGCTGACTGGCTACTGAACGGAAGTCTTCATTCATCTTGTCCAGATCCTCCAACAGGACGATGACACAGCTGTCACACGCTGCAAAAGGAAACGCACACTAAATTTCATTAATCCATAATTTTGCAGAAATTGATCCGTTCTCCTTGTTAGATTGCTGATATTTCTTTCCCCTTTTAAAACATAAAAAGGAATTCCTGCCCAGTTGCTGTCACATGTGAGAGTGCATGTGTGTTTCACTTACGTTCACAGTGCATGCTATGATGATGCTCCATGGGCACACTGTATTCATCCCTGCAGGTGTCACACTGTTTTCCTGTCATCCCGTCAGGACAGCGGCACTCCCCTGTCCGGGGGTCACAGTGACCTCCTCTACAGTTGCACTCTGGAGAGACAGAGATGTTGCACAGAACAAGTGGGTTGATTATATTCTAACCATTTTGCATCCGCAGTGTGATAAAAAAAAAAAGTATCCATTGCAAATCAACCCTGAAAGCTATGAACAGACATCATTGCAAATATATTGATTCTGTTTTGCACTGTTACTCTTCCCACTTTACAACTTTAATCTGTGATTGGCTTTTCAACGTCCTTCCTGCTAAACTGTATGTGTTCAAACTGTTGTGATTACAGCTGCAGCCCATAGTTTGAATATGAACTGATTACACTCTAATGTATTGGCTACAGTTGAAATGTGGACGATGCAGGCTCGTGTTTAGGCTACAAAAGATGCTGTTTGTCTGATTAACTTTACAATAACATTTTACTAAGAGAAAATTATAGTAACATTTTTAAAAAAGCATAACGCATCACAGGATGAAAGTGAAAAATATACTATGGAGTCCACTAGCCATTACTTATATCATGAAAAAGTTGATTTATTTCAGTAATTCCATTCAAAAAGTGAAACTTGTATAATGTATACATTCATTCCACACAGACTGATATATTTCAAGTGTTCATTCCTTTTAATTTTGATGATTATAAAATGAAATCGCCAAAATCAGGTTCTCAGAAAACTTGAATATTGTGAAAAGGTTCAATATTGAAGACACCTGGTGCCAGACTCTAATCAGCTAATTAACTCAAAACACCTGCAAAGGCCTTTAAATGGTCTCTGTCTAGTTCTGTAGGCTACACAATCATGGGCAAGACCGCTGACTTGACAGCTGTCCAAAAGACGACCATTGACACCTTGCACAAGGAGGGGCAAGACACAAAAGGTCATTGCTAAAGAGGCTGGCTGTTCACAGAGCTCTGTGTCCAAGCACATTAATAGAGAGGCAAAGGGAAGGAAAACAGAAGTGTGGTAGAAAAAAGTGTTCAAGCAATAGGGATAACCGCACCCTGGAGAGGATTGTAAAACAAAACCCATTCAAAAATGTGGGGGAGATTCACAAAGAGTGGACTGCAGCTGGAGTCAGTGCTTCAAGAACCACCACGCACAGAAGTATGCGAGACATGGGTTTCAGCTGTCGCATTCCTTGTCAAGCCACTCTTGTACAAGACACAGCGTCAGAAGCGTCTCGTCTGGGCTAAAGACAAAAAGGACTGGACTGCTGCTGAATGGTCCAAAGTTATGTTCTCTGATGAAAGTAAATTTTGCATTTCCTTTGGAAACTAAGGTCCCAGAGTCTGGAAGAAGAGAGCAGAGGCCCAGAATCCACGTTGCTTGAAGTCCAGTGTAAAGTTTCCACAGTCAGTGATGGTTTGGGGTGCCATGTCATCTGCTGGTGTTGGTCCACTGTGTTTTCTGAGGTCCAAGGTCAACGCAGCCGTCTACCAGGAAGTTTTAGAGCACTTCATGCTTCCTGCTGCTGACCAACTTTATGGAGATGCAGATTTCATTTTCCAACAGGACTTGGCACCTGCACACAGTGCCAAAGCTACCAGTACCTGGTTTAAGGACCATGGTATCCCTGTTCTTAATTGAAAAGCAAACCTTACCTTACCTGACCTTAACCCTATAGAAAATCTATGGGGTATTGTGAAGAGGAAGATGCGATACGCCAGACCCAACAATGCAGAAGAGCTGAAGGCCACTATCAGAGCAACCTGGGCTCTCAACACCTGAGCAGTGCCACAGACTGATGGACTCCATGCCACGCCGCATTGCTGCAGTAATTCAGGCAAAAGGAGCCCCAACTAAGTATTGAGTGCTGTACATGCTCATACTTTTCATGTTCATACTTTTCAGTTGGCTAAAATTTCTAAAAATCCTTTTCTTGTATTGGTCTTAAGTAATATTCAAATTTTCTGAGAGATACTGATTTTGGGATTTTCATTAGTTGTCAGTTTTAATCATCACAATTAAATGAAATAAACATTTGAAATATATCAGTCTGTGTGTAATGAATGGATATAATATCCAAGTTTCACTTTTTGAATGGAATTACTGAAATAAATCAACTTTTTGATGATATTCTAATTATATGACCAGCACCTGTAAGTGCTTTTCTGTGTACTATGTCACGCATTCACTCACTCTGGCAGCCGTTGGGTCCGTAGTCCCAGTATCCAGGAGCGCACTGTTTGCAGTTTGGCCCATTGACTCCGGGCCGACAGGCGCACTGACCGTTCTGAGGGTTACATGGTCGGACGAGAGCTGCAGAAGCATCACAGTCGCACTGCTGACAGCCAGAGCACGAGTCGAAGCCAAACGAGCCATCCTGAGAGAAAAACAGAATCAGGTAGAGGCACAAAGTAGGATTGTAGCTTGCTAACAGTTTGGATTGGTTTGTCTGTTGCTAAAATACCATAACTGTAAACAATACTGGCTACTAATTTAAAATTAATTGTTATTTGATTTTTGATATTTGATGCGATATTGTAAAACTTCATCATCTGGCAAGAATAACATTTTCAGATTTAAGATCCACACTGAAGATACTGTACAACAAATGTAAAAAAAAAAAAAACCTCTTACCACACAGCGTTCACAGTGCAGCCCGCTGACTCCTACTTTACAGCGACACTGTCCAGTTTGTGGGTCACATGACTCAGTGCCACACGGAGAACAGTTGCATTCTGTGTTATAAGAAACAACAGTTTTAATTTGCTGATACATCCTGTAACAGCGTAGTTCAAACACTGTTACATGTTTGGCATTAATCAAAGTGTCCCGTTTTCTGATATCATATCTGTCCTACATTCTTCTTTACTTAACTGTTTACTGTTTAATTGAACAGCTTAATTAGATCAAATGAATGCGTCAAATGAACTGAGGTTGAACTGAGGTTGGACATGAACTCACTGGTGCAGTTTTTGGCGGTGATGGCGTCTCCGTAGTAACCGGGAGCGCAGGTTTCGCAGTGAGGCCCGGCGGTGTTGTGCATGCAGCTGAGACACTTGCCGGTCAGAGGGTGACAGTCGATGAACAGCATGTTCGGGTCCGTGTTGCCGTTGCAATGGCACAGCTGGCACCTACTGCCGAGCACCATAGGGTTGCCGTAATAACCTGGGGCGCACCTGTGTTAAGAGGCTGATGTTTAATGACACATGTATCTGCAGCAAATGGTGTTCTTTTTTCTTCTTTTTTATAAAGTGATGCAACACATAACAGGTAAAACGCATAACAGAAACAATAACATGTAGTGAAAATACAAAAAACTGGAAATGTTTTTGACATACTGACAAGTTTGATATTGAAGACGTTGAATGGCAATTTGTGTGTGTGCATGTTCAGGAGGTAGAAAATTAAGGTTGGTATGGGGGAAAATTAATTGGGACATGGGTACAGTAAATGCTTTGAATTATTTTGAATTTATTATCAATTAAGGAGGCAGTAACCATTGTGGTTCTTTGTTAAAAACAAACATTAGAATTAAAGTAAATTAGTTGAACATGTTTTTTGATCCCTCGGGGGAAATATGTAATAAACCTCTAATCCTGTAATGCATTAAAAATAAACAAAACTTTGTATGAGAGCTTATCTTTGAGCAGCAAAAGGCCCTTCAACAATTTCTGTGTGTGAAAAGACCTTAAAAATAACGTTGTTTACAACAAACACTGTAGTAGAGGTTGTTTACCTTTCGCAGTGTGGTCCAGCATAACCTGGCATACATAAACACTGCATCCTGTCGTTTTTCTGCACACAACCCTCTGCAAAGCTACACAAAGAGACAAAACATAGGGAATTATTATAATATAGGTTCCAATGAAAAATCAGGGGAGTGATTGTTAAAGACGACACTAATGGTGAGAGGGGTAAAGAGAGGGTTTAAAAGAATGAGGGATATGGAGAAAAGTAACGAGAGGAAGATCGAAGGAAAAAAAGAGAATAAAATGTACGGACTTGTTCGATTGGACCCTCAGTGGGCAGGGACAGCTGGAGCACGACACTGCATGTCCGTCAAGACTGTTGTTGCCAAGGAAGCCACCCTGGCACTTCTCACAGTGGTCACCGGCTGTGTTGTGCTGGCAGCCCTGATGGATAGAGAGAAAAACACCATGACAGACAATGACTAACCTATAACGATGCTTGGTGAAATCAAGAAAAACAGAAAGGTTTGTGGTTTTCAACAAGAGCAAAATATTAGAAAAATAAGAGATAAATATTTATCATTAAAAATCCTCACCACACATATTCCAGATCCATCCAGACACTGGTCTGAGTGTCCGTTACAGTTACAGGGAACACATTTACCCAGAAACAGCCCAATAGTGTCTCTGTAGTAACCTGGAGCACATTTCTATAGACAGGAGAGGAACAACATGTATGTAAGGGATAAGAAGATTATTTTCATTAATGATTTACATTTGTGATTGAAGATTAATCAGCTGCTTAATAAAACTAATTAATTGATAACCAAATAGTTGCAGATGAATGTTCTGTTCTGATAGTATAATCAGTTAATTGTCTGCTTGAGTCAGATATACATGTACCCATGTCTGTTGTTTAGTTGGATCAATAATAAAAAAGCATTCTCTCATTTTTCTACAAACAAAACATATGCAATCATTTGAAAGATGCTTTAAACTGTTCTTAAGATCCTTTATATTTGTAGATCCAACAACTAAACATACAGAACCAAAAACATAATCGTGTGTGCGAAGGTAAACATAAAACTACTAGTTGATTAATAAATATTGAAAACTTAACAGTCAGCTGAACTTTCTAATAACCGATGTGTTCTCACCTGACACGAGTCTCCAAGGTAGTTGGCGGGACACATGCAGATCTCCACGTTGTTTGCATGGCGGCCGGCAGGCAGGCTCTCTGCGCCCTCCAGCACGGCACCGCGGAGGGACACGGAGTGGGCCGACTGGGAGTGCAGGGCTCGGATCTGCAGAGACTCCAGACCGACCAGAACCATCATGAGCTCCTCCCGAGACACCACGTTACCGGTCTGACCGTGACGGAAACTTCCCTGTGAGGAGAGGAAGGAGGAGAGAGATGAAGTGGTGATTTAGAAGATTGACAAAAACAAAGGGCAGTAATTTCAGGACTAGATTATCAAGCAAGCTGTCAAGCAGTTAATTACTGCAATAATGTAAAAAGACGTAGAAATAACGGTACTAACATGTTGAGGCGATAAAAAAAGAAGAGGGTGAGGTATTTTTCTTTTTACTTGAAGTAGGGTAGTTTTTGTGGGAGAACAAACTTAAATTCATCACAAATTTATGTTTTATTTACAGTATATAAAAATAAATAAATAATAAAAATAAATGACAATTCTACAAAACCATCTAGAATCAAGTAGGACTAATATGTCAGTTTTGAGAAACGTAAGTAGAACATTTTTCATTAACCTATGATCAACAACACATTAATTCAGAATCTTTCTGGTTACATTCGTTTTGCCATCCAGTCATGTGAAATCAAAATTTGATCACAAATTAAAATTTTACCCATAAAGCACATCCCCGTGTGCAATAAGCAGTTGTTTGCATGAGGCCAGAAAGAGGAACAGTTGGATAGTGAATACATTAAGTTTTCAAAGGACTCGAACCATGATAAAACACATTTTAAAGCAATACCACCTAATATTGCATTTCAGCAGTTCTACTGTAGGGGGCATTGGAAGATAATATAACTTTGTAGCTTTTGTTTCCAGCTATGGTTCGACTGAAAACTTCTGTAAAGAAAAAGTGGATTTCCCTCCGGTGATTGTTACTAAAAATCACAACACTATTTTGGAAAAAGGGGCAAATCCGATACGTTGCTTAAATTCAACTTCTCATGTAAATCTTTACCTCGACCATGTGAACTATTCCCAGGTGAGGCTCTTCAGGTGAGGAGTACTCTCTCTCCATGAACACCAGGGTCATCTGGTTACCCTGCAGGGGAAAAACACTGTATATTTTAATAATACTCTTTGTGTGTACATGCTTGATTATATATATGTCATGTGCATGTGTTTGTGTGTCTTGATTCTGGCAGAGACCTGTCGACATATGTCTTTTTATTTGTGTTTCTGTATGCGAGTGTTGAGTACCTTGAGAATGATGTCAGGCCTGGAGGCTTCTGCAGGCAGAGACAACACGTCGCCTCTCATGGTTTGAGTGTGGAGACGATACGTTAAATAACCTCCATAGGATGAGACCTGAGGAAACAGGGACACATTTAGGAGATATTAGAATAAAAAAAATACAAACAGGTATAAAGACAGAAAGTAAAGACTAAAATAAAGCATTAGAAAGACAGGAAAAGCAGACACAGAGACAGACTTGTAGCTTTAATCTCATGCTCATCTTAATCCATACAACAAAGGATTACATTCAGACCTGTACACTCAAACAGCAACAAGATCTAAGGCTGGATAAAACATCTATGAAAGATAAAACGCCTTTATTTCATGTAGGTTTTGGCAAAGCTGACATTTGAAGCTGGTTTATGGAACGTAACAGGACTAAGTCTGGGATTTGAATTGAGACCTCAGCCCGCAGGAGTGATGCTGGTTGTATCACATGTGAACGTCTAGACGAAACACTGATCTGTATCCAAACACCTCGTCTGAGCCTCTGGATCATGACACGTCTGTCTGTCTGTCTGCATAATTTAGGTGTGTGTATGAGATGTGAAATGTATTTGTGACTTTGCTGAAGTTTTTGTCCCTTATGTGTCATCAATACCTTTGAATCACACAGCTAAGGCAAGTTTATTTGTGTAGCCCCTTTCAACAACAAGGCAATTCAAAGTGCTTTACATAAGATAAAAAGTCATTAAGACAAGATAAAGATCAATTCTAAAAAGACACATATAAGTAGGATTTTTAAAAGGGTGAAATAAAATAGAAGATCCAAATAAGGAAAAATACAAGAAGAAGAATAAACGGGGGAGTAAAAAATTACAGTGCCGTGCAAGATGTGATATGAAGATGGTCCCAAATATAATTCAATACAAGTCCTGATTTAACAGAGCTAAGGTGCATTTATTAGGGACATTTGGCTATATTAATGAGCATGTTCCACTATTTTATAGTCTCATACAAACCTTATAATGTTAATATGTTGTCCAAAAGGTGCAAGGATATATGTTCTAGATTTGGAAATAAAGTGTTAATTTGGAAACCTAATCCTAAATTTTCAATCTTACTTCATTTTTTTTCTAACCAAAATTTGTTTAGTTCAAAGGAATAGCTTGATGTTTTGGAAAAAAGGCTTATTTGCCTTTTTGCCAAGAGTTAGATGGGAAGAGCCGTCTCTCTTATATGTCCATTAAAACCTTCCCCTGGAGCCAGGAGCTTATCTTAGAGACCGGAAATGTGCGCCAAGCAGCACTGAAAATCTCACTAACTGACATGTTCTATCATGTTAGTTTAATCTGTACAGTTGTGGTTTTGGGGTGGGGGGGGGTGTTACGTGCTGGACCTGGCTTGGCAATGCTAAGCTAACCGTCACCTGGTTGCAGCTTTCTATTTAATGGACAGATATGAGAGTGGTATCAATCTTATAATCTAACTCTCTTCATCACGTGACATTAAAAGCTTGGTAAAAGTAAGATAAGTGAAACTAAATTCGGTTACGATAGGCACGATTATTTTGTTGAATCAGAAAGTGTTCACATCGAGTCTTAGCTCTTAGTATTCCTTGTATCTTGCCTAAAATTGCACCTTGAATAAACAAAGTATTTTGAGTTGAATTAAAGCCCAGAATCTATTTACACTTTCTTCAAAGGTCCTGTCTCACGTACCTTGTCTCCCAGGTAAGCCTTTGGTGCGTGCCAGTGAAGGTCCTGGTAGACATCTGGCACATCACTGAGGTCAGCCTCTACAAGGTCCTGATCAGGATACACTGCAACCGGTACTTCCTGTCTGTCTGCTCCTAGCAACACCCAGCCCTCCATGTCCATGACCTACAGGATAGATGAATGGTAAACGATAAAAAAGGAGTGAACGAACATGAAGGGGGAAGAGATCAGAGATTGGACATGAGCTTAAACTTGTAACGGTCAAATGTTGAGAGAAACACGCTAACTTTGTTCCTGCAAAATCTAAAGGCAAACATGACTAACATTAGAGGATATTAAATGTATGAATTCTTAGTGGGAATGTTGATGACAGCAATGAAACTCTGCAAGGATTCAAGAGATATTCAATCAAAATACATGTAAGTAAAATATCAGGATAATAAAGGTTAAAACATTGAAGGTATCTAAACTTAGCAAGCGGTGCGTGTCTGGCAATCAAAATATTTACTGGTAACAGCTAGAGCTGAAATGATTAGTCAATGAATCGACTAGCCGATCGCCAGACCTTTGCATGTTCCAGCTTGGTTGGTTTTATATCAGTGTAAATTGAATATTGAGGTTTTGGACTGTTAGTAGGACAAAAAAGGACATTTAAAGACATCACCTTGGGCTTTAGGAAACCGACATTGCTGTCTTTTTTTAGACAATACACCTAATTGACTGATCCCCCCCAAAAAACCTGCATACTAATTATTGTACTAATTATTGTTAGCATGGTTTTAGGATCAATAACCACCGTGGTACTGAGTCTCAGCAGAATGATGTGGTTGAAGTACAAGGTTAATAAAATCTCTCATTTGTACAGACATCCCTTCAGAATTTGAAATCAGGCTCATTTTCTGTTAGCTGCATCAATAATGCCTAATTTCTTCTAATTATCTCACAGCAGATTTTCCAGATCAAGTTCACTCGTGGATATGTGGAAGTTCAATAGAAGTCAGCGAGGTTTTAAAAACACCCTGCTAGCAGATACAGAAACAGATGAAAACAGGACCATTTGTGGTTAAAGTTTAAATTAACAACCTCTGTGCGTCTTTTGTCAGAGCTGCGGCAGCGATCGGTGGCCCCGAAGCAGAAGCAGCTGGTGCAGCCCTTCGGGTTGGTTGGGTCCAAGTGGAACGTGCCAGCTCTGCACAGATCGCATCGGGAACCCTGGACGTTCTCCTACAGGTGGAAGACACACATCGGGTTAGAACATACAGTAGGGCGCAGGATTCAGGAGGACATGCATGTGTGTGTGCGCTACCCAACCTTGCAGAGACACTGTCCCGTGAAGGAGTCACACACTTCCTCCTCAGTTCCCGCCTCGTTGCAGTCACATGGCCTGCAGTTGGGAAAACCATAGAAACCGGGAGCACAGCGGTCACACTGACGGCCGGCGATGTTGTTCTTACATCTGCAAAAAATAATATACAACTGTTACAAAAGCTACAAACTTTTACCTTTATGTGCTAAAATAATAATAATAATAATTTTAATCTTGCAGGAGGTTTATTGCTCCTCATTCTCCATCACAAACAACTGATTAATTATAATGCATATTTTGGCTTGTTAAAGAGATACACTGGCAGCTGACTGCAGGGTAAATGCAACTGTGTGTTAATGCCAAGTGCTGGGATCTTAGGTGTTGAGAGAAAAACTCTCAGCTTTACATCCTTGTCTTGTCTGGACAAAGCTGACACATTCCTCTGTGTTTGTGTCTGTATGTTTGTAAGGGGGGAATGATTGTAATTTAAGATATCTTGATGAATGCGTGAATGCTTACAGCAATGGGAAAAAAAAAAAAATGGAAGACAGACTTTTCTAGAAAGACAAACAAAAGGATAGCAGCAAAGACAGACAGAAAATGACATGTGAAGTTTTCAGCTGTAGCAATCTGCTTACAGTGAGTGAGAAAAGCACTCTCAATATATTAAATTGTTTGGAAGATATGCGTGTCACGAACCCCCGGTCGTGACCCTGACCTTCCTGTTGGGATGTGTGTGTGTGATTGTAGTTTTTGAGTTCTTTTCCCCTTTGGGCGTTCATGGTGTGCTTGGTGTGTTTTTGGTTTTTGACTGTCTCTCTGTGTTCTGCTTCCTCCCTCATGCTCTGGGGCTGCTGGTGGGCGTGGTTGCCTGAGCTCCAGTTTACGCACCTGAGACTCATCCAGTTAATCAGCACACCAGTGCCTCAGCCTACAATCAACTTAAAAGACCAGCCCAACCTTCCAGTCCCCGCCGGATCGTTGTACCTCACAGTACGAACGCGCCAGCCTGTTTCCCATCCTGAACTATCAGCATCTTGTCTGAACCCTTGCATTAGTATTAATTTGTTTTTCTGTCTTGGCCACAGAATACCTGCCCATGCCTGACTCGGATTCCTTCCTGTACCACGGAAACCCCTGAGCTCTGGAACCAGGACCACATGCCCCTTGGAACAACCACCCATCCCCAAGTCACACCTGTCTCTCCCTTGAGTTCGATAAATCCCCTCACTGCTCATACTCTGGTCTGCGTCTGAGTTTCTGGCCCCCCGTCCTGACAATATGAGTCATGTGTCAACCTGTCAAATTTAAAGCCTTTGGAGGGAGGCAGGCTAAGTGTTTCCTCCTGTATCCAATCTTTATGCTAAGCTAAGCGTCTGCTAGCTCTAGCTCCATATTTACCGTACAGACAAGCATGAAACTGGTATTGATCTTCTCATTTATGTCGGAGCAAGAAAGTGAATTAAAGTATTAAGTAGTAAGGCTACTTTTTATACATTTAAATTTCCAAGTGTTAATTTGACAAAGTTTCCAGCATATGGCTTCCAATTTGATCATTGACCAATGAAAGCAAGTAAGTACTGTGTTTATCCAATCGGGTGTAAAAAGAGTTCAGGTTGAAGTCTGAAGAAGAGAGCTGTTACAATAGCTGAACACTGATCCTTGTCAGAACCACGAGGGATAATGTTGTGTGATAAGTGATGAATGTCAACAGCCTTTGCAATAACCACTGTAGTTATTTATAAAAGACTGGCAGCCACCAAAAAGCCAGAAACTTCAGGATGAGTAAAGTGCATAAAATGAGGCCACATCGTGATCTAAAGATTAAGGGAGGAATAACCGAGGCAGACAGATAAGGAAGAGGACAGACAGCTGTAGTGTTGTTGGAGGAACAGGGCTGACTGAAAAGAGACTAAAACATGCAGTTTCCACAGAACACAGACAATAGTTGGCAAGCACAGCTAGCCAAACACAGAGGCAATCAACCCAGCGAGAGATTCAGAGCCAAGATCCTGTCAGGAGACAAAACATGCGAGAAATAACTGCCTTTTTAGGTATTTCCTAACAGAGGCCTGACGTTTAAGAGTTGAACTTGCTGAAACAAAATGTGTTTTGGAGGAGCAGTACATGATTTTTAGCTTCTGAATAAAATAAGAACTATTAAGCTGAGAGGACCGTCTCGGAGACCTTTCTTGTCTTACCTGCACTGTCCGCTGAGCGTATCGCAGCTCACGTCGGGGGAGACGATGCCGGGACGAGAGCAGTTGCAGATCTCACATCCGACCACTGGGTGGCAGCCGAAGGTCTGGGGCTCACACTGGGTGCACTCTGGGCGCAGAGTCCTCGGAGGGCAGATACAGTCGCCGGTCACGGGTTCACATAACCTTGAACCACAGTTACAGGCTGGAGGAAAGGGGAGAGGGAATACAGTAAGTTATAGAAATACAATTCTCTGTTGCTTCAGAGACAGACAGGAGGGAGGAAAAGGAGCGACAGGAACAATTCCACTTAAAAAAAAAAAGTCTTTTATATTGAGTTACTGCAGTCACAACACATTAGTCTGTTTTATCATTTTATACTGTTTTGACAAAAAATGCTGAAAACTAATAATGAAAAAATGATTGATCAGGGTTTAAAGTACATTTCTATCTGAATATAATAGTAACTGATGTCCAAAGACACAGAGTACAAAATAAAACACTAACTATTCTCTATTTTTGCCATTTATTGAAATGTAATGCATTATGTGAGTCATTTTTAAGATTTTGACCACAGTGCTATCATGACTGTCCTACTTTTGTAAACTGGCCAGTTTCCTGCTGATGTTATGATGGTTTGGGCACTTACTGCCCGACTGTGGCAGCAGCTTTGGGAGACTAATGTTTACTGTTTGTTTTTAATTTTGTGGAAAGATTCTGTATTTATTTATAATCAGCCTGACTAGAGCTAATTATCTGCTGTTCAGTCAGCCAATCACACACTCACGTCTGCAGTTGGGGAATCCCCAGAAGCCGGTGGCGCACATGGAGCAGTCCCGGCCAATCACGTTTGGCCTACAGAGGCACTGACCGCCGAATGGCTTGCAGGTGTCTGTCTCGGCTCCGACCTCGTGGCAGGCGCAGGGCATCGCCCCGTTGTTGAAGAACGCCGACAGAGACACCGCCGAGCTGAGGCAGAACGGAGAGGCGGTGGAAGGACTGGAGGGACAAAAGAGAGGAAGTGTTATTCATTCACATACTGCAGAAGTACACTGAATTTCACTATTTTTGACAATAAGTCAAGAGTGATACTTTACTACTGTTGACTAATCACTGGCTATGGAAAGCATGACTACTACAAAATCTTTTTCTCCACACTACCCATCAGAGAATTAATGTGCAATCAGTTTAAACACTTTTTTGGTGTAATATAATGTAATGTGATATAAAAACATTCTTGTATATTCAGTTCTACTGTAAACCTCCTCTCCTGCTAAGATACTGACTTGATGTAGAAGCTGTTTTGGCCACAACTGCTGATGAAGTCATAGGATTTATCCAGACGTTCCTCATTCAGGTAGCTGGAGCTGTAGGTCGCCTCAGGCACAACCAGCACATAATCCTGTGGATACACAGCACACGAGATACAACCAAAGAGGATGAAGAGAGGAAGAGAGGGAGGAGACAGGTTCTTTATTTCTTGCATTTAGACTTTGGAGAAAAGATAAAAGCTTCAACTTTAAAAGACCTTTCTGCTTATATCTCAGATTATAAACACAAACTGTTATTATGTAGCAAAGCTATAATAAAGATTATTATACAGTATATATAGTAGATACTTTCATACGGCGGGAATTATGTGTGTGTGTGTCAAGGTCATCAGTAACAAACAATGTCAACAGAAAACATGCATCATGCCACAGTGGCAACAAATGGCGGGAGCTGAAACATGTGTCCACTTTAAATAGTATTGTAAAGGTTTCTTTCCACATTACTTGAAAATATGGAAATGGTCATTGAAAAACACGCAAGATGGTGTGCTTTTATAGTTTAAACAATGAAAAGATGAGAAGAGGAAGAGGTGTAATAAGTAATCAGAAATTCTGAAACCACACGGAAGACAACCTGAAGATATTTGTGTTTGACACAAAGAACTCCAGAGAGAAACTCAAATGTAAGGAGATGACAGAGGAGGATCATTTTGGATGAAGAAAGGAGAAAAATAAAAGCAGGGCAGTTAAACTTACCAGCCACAGTGTCTTGTCAGAAGGTATCTGCACTGTGAGGAAGACCTCGTAGTCCGTCACATCCAGAATGATCTGATTCTCAGAGACCAGGACGTTACGGCAGCCATAAGCGTGGGGACAGAAAGAGGCGTTGGCGTGACCTGAGGCACAGGAAAATAAAGATCAGTTATTTTTATTCAAATGTATTTACTGATAATGTTGAGATAAGAGCAGTCCCGTCACACAGGACTGCACTGCCTGCAGCTTTTTTTAATCTCCAGCACTCAGTTTTTACTCTTACCATGCCAGATTCGTCCACCATTAATGTAAACCTGCACAGGATAGGTGGGGTGGAGAGGCTGGTGATAGTGGAGGATGAAGACATAACGTCCCAGGGCATGAACACGGGTGGAGTACACCGCTGCATTCTGGGTAAGGGGTTGATGAAGGAAATGAGACAATGAGACAAAGAAATGTGGTGATGGTGAATTTTTTATTTTCAACATCAGTCAAGCACTCACGCAGGTTATTTTTTATGCTCTGAATCATGCTTGAGAAAAAACTTTTTTGCACCTGATGGTTTTGGTTATGTCATCCAATAAAGTTTGAGTATATTAAAAAATAAATTGGTTCCTTAAACCTGTAACTGAAGCTCAGCATGGACTTGTCTTATTCCTCTTGTGGTGTCCATACCGGATAAGAACACCTCAGGAAATGTGTGTTGAAAATGTTGTGTATGAGTCCAGATGTAGCTGTTCCACACCTGCTGGCTATTAGACATCTGTTTTCTTTTACCAATGAACCTTTACATGTTGGGGTCAATAGTACTTTTAGAAGAGGACAGAGAGTTGTTGCAGCTTGTCCAGGGGAACCTAATTTTAACAACTTAATATATTTTATATTTTGCTGGATAGTTCAAACTATATGGGAATATATATAGGAATCATACTCTATTAAATTATTCATTTTTCCTGTAATAGCCTAAACTATAGAGCAGTAAAGTAGAAGAATAAAGTAGCATAAAATATACATGATAATAGTTCCTCAAATATATTTAAAATAGTTATTTATCAATGACTAAATGGACTAAACAAAAGCAGTAAAATCTAATTAATCTAATCCATTCAAAAAAATATAATGCCATGTCCTGCATGTTAATATCTGCAGGCCTGCTAGGTCCATCAGCATTCGTACCTGCAGTGAATCCAGCCTGACGTGGTCGCTGTTATCTGCTCCGTGGGGAGGCCTGTCTCCTCCCGTCCAGGGCAGCTCGTCTCTCTGCTGGAAGGGCAGAGGAGGAGCTGCTGCAGGGGAGGCCAGGATGGGCTCCTGCATGGAGGAGCTCTGGCCATCCTTCAGGACCAGCGAGTCTGACGGGGTCTGGAAACGCGAGGGGACACAGGAGGAACTACAGAGAGAGAGGAAGAAGGTAGATGGTTTGGAAGTTTTTTTTTTTTTTTTTTTAATTATAAAGGATTTTTTACGGTATGCACAGTTATTACTTTACCTGTCAGGTGAGAACTGTCCATGAGTGCTGATGCAGTGGACTTTAGGTTCAACATACTCCATGGTAAAGTGATCTTTAGGCACCAGGTACAATTTGTGCTAAAGACAATAAAGAAAGCGCATTGCATCATTGTTTGTTTAGATAGCTGATAAATCATTTAGGTAATTTATCAAAAATATAATGATTTTGTGGCATGTACACAACATGGGCTCCCTTTCCAAACACTAACATTTTGAAAATCTCTTTTATACCTTAAGTCATCTAAGGACATAGAATCCTTCCATGTTTATAACATATTTTAAGCTCATAATATCACCACGGCACTCTGGGTGAAACATGTGACGTAGGTGCTGTTCTCACCAGGAAGAAGCTTGCACGGTCGGAGATAAGCTGGATCTCGGCGTCAGCGGGGAGGGAGAAGACAGCCACCCTGTTCTGTTCATCGATGGCCACGACTCGACACAGGAAGCTACGCAAACACACACACAGAGGCACAGTGATTAAGAGCTGTTGACGTACTTAATAAAGCACAGACGGTAACAGTAAACTGTGAACCAGCTGAGTCCACACATTACAGTAAAATACACAAACTTTTCACTGCAGCCAGACCAGAACACAATATCCTCTTTTACACCCTCATTCATGCAGACGATAGCAGATTGGTTTCATCTTCCTGTTAACTGTATCCTGTAATATCGTATCGTATTCCACCCCTGTCTAATGTAAAAATGACGACTGAAACTGTGAAACACCAATGTCTCTGAACAGTTGTGGAGCTCCTGCTTGAGCTTTTAAATGTGCAAGAAAAGGTATTTTATTAATGATAAATGCTGTTTGATTGTCCATTGGGTGCAGTTCTTGAATCTATCACGAAATAAAAACTACTAGTCAAAAAAGGATTTCTGCATATTTGGATTCCTCTTAAGTTCCAAATGTTTTTTTTAGTTAACTCATCTGATTTCACACGATATGATCCGTAAACATACATAACCTGCAATCTACCATTATTACTAGCAGCAGTGATATTGGTCATTGTGTTTTTTCCCCACAGAGCAGAGATGATGGCCTGAATTTATTCATTTAAAAAAAAAATAGGAGTGCAAACGTGACAACTTCAGACTATGACAAACATCCTTTTGTTCTGTCCTGTCCTGCATTCATTCAAGAGACCTGTAAAAAATCTAAGATTAGTGTTATTTTTAGAAACATTATGTGAAAAGTAACTAAGTAAGTTAAAAGCACAGAATCTCAGGACAGATCTTCTTTGTACCTGTATCTGCAGTACAGCAGGGTGACGTGGTGCCGGTGTGTTCGCGCTCCCGGCATGTTAACTGCAACAGACAGAGTTTGTGGCAATTCTTCCTCGCTAGAATATTCTACGACCAGAACGTAATCACCTGGAGACGGCAGACGCCCTCGCAGCTCGATGCTTATCTGCAGCAGAAATGGAAAACTGATTTATAAAAACATCTGTTCCTGCTGCAGTTTTGGAGCTGAGCATAAGGCTGTGTGTCCAAAGTTCGAGAGGGTAAAACTCCTTTTGTCATTTTCAAGCTTTCTCCGAGCTTTTGTGTTTCTACCACTCAAAAACCAGTAAACACTGCAAAAACATTTTCGCTCTCCATTCCCCTCTCTTACATCAGAGCCACTGCAGACGGCCATGTCGGGGTGGCGTGGGGTGACCCTCTCAGTTGGGCAGGGGCGCGGCAGGTGATTGTCATTGACGCAGCTGGCATCGTTGCCGGAGATGGAAGGGAAGGAATCCAGAGACAGATACCTGTACAGCAGACAGCTAGACAAGCACAGAGAGCAACAGACAGGCTTCTTAAACATTGTTGTGTTTTTATTGTGTCCTAACAAGGACAGAAATTAACTTAATGTCCTCACAAGAATACAATGGTAAGATTGTAAGGGTAGGGATATTTTCCAGCTCTTCCCATCTCTGAGGAGGTTTGATTTTGGATTAAAACATGACCTAGAATTATAATTAGGTTGATCTGAATTAGATTTCTGCTAAAGGAATATTTCAACATTTTTGGAAATATGCTTTTTATTTGGAAATATGCTTTTTTTTTTTTTACTCTGCTGAGAAAATCAATGCCACTCTCACATCTGGGAAGATAAGCAGCCAGCAGTTGCTTCAATTTGCTTGGCCAAATAGTCACAAAACTAAGACCTAAGCCTCCATAAAACCACCACTTCTTTTACTCTTGTTTTTAGCTTTGGACGGAGACAAGCAAGCTGTTTCCCCCGGTTAACAGTGTTTGTGCTAACGTAAGTTAACCACCTGCTGGCTGCAGCCTCACAGTAACTTTACAGAAGTGAAAGTATCGTAGTATAAAGTTTAAAACCTGTTTTTACATGAGAGTTGAGAAAGTCCTGCATTCATCGCACATTAGAGCAGTAGCTAGACATAGAAACACATGTGGAACTGTCCTTGACTTGATTGGAAATTTTTTCCATTAATTGATTACTTGATTTAAGTGAAAAATATTTGCGTATATGTACTTCTGACTGGCGTCAGGCACAGAGCTGTAGGTGCAGGGCTCAGTAACTCTGATCTGCAGGATGGCAGCTTCATAGTAGGCACTGGGCAGCAGGACCAGGTAATCCTGAAGCGAAACAGAGCATGAATACGGTGTTACTGGGTATATAAACAAAAAGTACAAGCAATTTAAATGTCTTTTTCTTCTAAACTTGTGCTGACATGTTTATAGGAGGTTTGGTTAGTGTCTGCCTCTTGTGTCTAAGTCTACTTTATTTCCTGTCTGTCTTTATTCACAAAAGTCGGACATAGAATCCTTCCATGTTTACAATATATCTCGAGCTCATCATGTGACCATGGCACTCTGGGTGAATCATGTGATGTGGATGCTGTCTTTTTTGGATAAAAACATCAGCTACAAATGTATAAAAGTAAATGAAATTAATAATGTGTTTCACCTGTGGTTAACCAGCTTGTGTTTGTGTATATATAGTCCGTGTGCTTCCCTGGTCCTTTGGAGTCTGTCTTCGTATCATGCCAAGTGTTCCTGACTGTTTTGTGTGTTTTCTAGCCATGTTTGGATTTATTTTTGGATCACTCAGACCTTGGATTATTGCCTGTCCCAGTGTTGGATACTGCTTCCCTCGTATTGGTTTTAAGTTGTTCACTTGAGAAACAGAACCTGCTCAGCAAGGTGTTCTGTGCCTGGGTCCAAATCCCTAATTCCCTGTGTCTGAGCTTGTCTAAAATGTGACTAAAACATAATTATGAGAGCTCTCCCTTTGCTTTCTGGGCTAATGCTGGCAGTGTGTGCGTGCGTGTCTCACCAGCAGGATTCCCTCAGCCTCTATAACCACAGTCCAGGTTCCCGGATTCAGGACAAACGGCTCCACAAAGTTGTTCTGGGGAACGTTGACAAAAGTCGGCTCCACGCTGGGAGCAAAGACAATCTGTTTGGACTGCTCTGAACCTAGAAAACACACACACACACCCCAGAAATGTATAGTATTAGATATTAAAACTGAAAACCAATCAAAAGGGTTAATTAAATGAGTAGTGTAGATGCATTTGAGGAACAGAAATTGGAAAATTGGAAAACATAACTTCAACATTTAAAGAATTATCATCATACATTAAAATCTAATTAAAATATAATGCAATAATAAATGCAATTTTAGTGTAAGCAGGATTTACTTACAAAAAAACACAGACATACAGTCACACATTCATCTCTTCTACTGCTGCTTTCTGTAACACACACTGACACACTCTCTTGTGATTGGTGGAAACCTACCTCTGCGGTTGTTCTGATAGGCTGTTATTTTACCGTTGGAGGTGGTTCCCTCAGAGTTTACATATCTGAGTATGAAGCGAGTCAGATAGACGTCTGCCTCGTTCACATAAACCTGAAGCTTCACTGCAGTCTACAGGGACAGGGTCCAAGTAGCGGGGGAGTAGGAAGGGGAGAAGAGGAGGTGTGAAGGGTAGAGGGTATTAACTCTTAGTTATAAATCTCTGAACTCTGCCCTTAACTGTGGCCCTGAATGTGAGAGAAGATGTAGCAGAGGCAGCCACCAACAGCGCTTTAAAACCACCAACCACCACACACATCCCACCACCATCTGTTTCATCTGACAGATAAGATACCAGACAAGAAAACAGACACATTCCTCTTCCAATACTTCCTTTTCCAATGCTGGAATGATTGACAGGAGGCCAGAAAGAGGAAGAGCCCAGCACTTACAGTTACCACAGTAGTAGTTCCAGTCCTCCTCTATGACCGACACCCTGCCCAGAACATCTGAACCCCCCCGGTTCGCATAGCGTAGCACCACACGGAAGAGGTCTGGAGAGCTCACCGACACCGACACCAACACTTTGGACTGCCAAAGGACCAGCAAGCAAGGAAAAGGGAGGAAGGATTGGATCACAACACAAGGTGCAACAACAGGGTGCAGGAAAATGAGAAGAGAAATGGTGGAGGGAGGGGGAAACGGAAAATACCAAGCAAAACCTTAATTCCTTCACCACAAAAAGCACACCAGCACACCAAGATACACTTTTACGCCCAAATATAACCCACCATTTTTCTCTTTGGATTTCCACTTTTTAGCACATTTATATGAGCATAAGTAATTAACCTAAGAGCCACTTAATGCTTTTGGAGCTTCTTAATATCGTTAAACAGAATCAACTAAATGACAAGCTTGCTATTTTAGTATCATATCAAGATTAGAAATAGAATTTTAACATAAGTTCTGTAAACTACTCTATCCACAGAGAAGTAAGTAAATGTTTAGTTATATAAAATGTTAAAACTCCCATGTCCTTTGGAGGATATATGTGCTGAGAAGTAATTCTACCAAAGAGAAATATCCCTTTAAATGTTTACACAACATTAAGCCATGGTGCAAGAGGCCACAGTCACAAAAATATGTATTTCATTATTCACACAAGATATATAAGAAAATACATTTTCTATATTTTTACTATAGTTTATGTATCAGGAAAGAAATCTGTGACATGGCAAGAAATTGGAAAATATGTATTTGATATCTGTATATTCTCATAATGAATCGTTAACATTAGTCAACAACAACAGCAAAGCACTACTTTCTTTCAAGCCAAATGCAGTTTCTTAAAATGCTGTAACTTTATCTTTAATCCATCAGCGCAAGATATTGACACATCCAACCTAACTATGTGGACCAAAGGTCAGAGGTGAGGGGTAAAAAGTAACGTTCCTACCTGGATGGGGGACATCTGAGCGTAGCCTCTCCAGCTGAAGTCTGGGAACTCTAGAGGGTTGTACCCGAATCGTACCGGTCGGCCATCCAGTAGTGTTCCCTCCTCAATCTCAAACTGAAGATGATGGAGGTCAGGGAAGTAATGATCTGGACGAGGTCTGCAGACAAAAGCGAACATAGAGACAAACAGTCTGAATGAAATTTTAAAAAAGTGATGGGCTGGGGAAACAGTGGTCTTACTTTAAAATTTCTTCATTTATGTGCTAATAACTTTATCTAAATTTTATTTGTATTGTGATGTCTTGTTAAATTCCTATTGTATTTTACTTTGCGTGAAATTAATTACCCATTACCAGAAAGTAGAAGGAGACAAAAAGCGATTGCAAAAAACCCCATCCAAAACAAAAACCTTCCTTTATAAACATTTAGGGATGGAAGGATAGTCAAGCAGCAGCATCTTTTTTCAGGTCTCTTTAGCTGCTGTTGCACTCACAGATTGCACTTCGGTCCCTCAACATTGGGCCTGCAGCGACAACGGCCATTCCTCTCTCCACAAGACTGACCTGCTGAACCTCCAATGTCACACTGGCAACCTATACACACAAATGCAAACACTAGATCAACAAATACAAGAAGCCAGCATCACACATCTCAAACATTTGTTTTTAAGGGGAAGCCAGCAATGACTTTAAAGTGTTATTCAACACTTTCTAACATTGTCATGATGAATTCTCACCCTGGCAGCCGAAGTAGTCGTGCTCCTGCAGATTGTAGTAGCCATCTTTACAGGTAGAGCAGGTTCCGCTGCAAGTGTTGGGCTTACAGTGACACTGACCAGTTTCCTGCCAGAAACAAGAAAGAGATTATTATATATCGGTATAATAACAGGGAGCATAGAGACAGATCTTACAGGGCTTTTATTAAGACAAGGCCCGTTATTGATCATCATATTGTTTATTTAATAACGTACAAAAACGGAGACAACATTATCAAAAATTCAACACCGAAATTCAATGCAAACAACATGTGTAACCATTATACCTTCTAAAACTTCATATACTAATGCATCTAATACTGTTTTTCACACACAGAAAAGGACGCAACTTAAAAAATGGACCCTATGTGCAATTAAATGCATAATACCAAATATTAACTTCTTCACAACAGTATTAATACTCAGGAAATAAAAAACATTTTTATAGACTGGAAGTTTATTCCAGAGGAGGAAAAGCAGTTTAACTCACCTGTGCACATTCAGCAACACTGCTGACAGTCCCCGCAATGTTACACTCACAGTCTGCAGGAGAAAGCAGACCCACAGGCTTCAGTTCATTTATGAACTCCATTTACCGCATTCAAACTAGTGAAACACATGTGTAATGTGTGATTGTGTGTGTGTGTGTGTTTGTAGTATGTCTTACTGGAGCATCCATCAGGAGTGTCAGGGGAGAGGTTCCAGTACAGAGGTTTACATTTGTCACAAGCAGGGCCCTCGACATGATGACGGCACTCACACTGGCCCTAAGAAGATGATTAACAGGAAAATAAACCGAAAAGTCTGTTCCTACCTTCCTGTTAGAGTACGTACTCATAAAGACCCCCAGTCTAATTCACAACATATAAACAGAAATGTGTCAACCGGGACCAAAAGTGTAAAACAAAGCAATTACAAACATTACCTGAACAACACACGAAAACTTACCACTGGTGGCTGCACCTCATACTGAACAGAGCCGGCAGGGTGGCAGGTACCAGCTTTAAATGACAAAGAAAGGAACACATATTTTACAGTGGGATAAAATGAGTTAATACTCGTGTTTAGGCTCGCTGGAAGTGTATTGTAAGTTGTAATAGTTTGTAATGCTTGTGTGTGTGCGTGCGTTTGCGTGTATGTGTTTAGCTGAAGGTCACATTCACTGCAGCTGTCACACCTCACTTTCATTATTTTAGGCACACAGAGAATTTGCGCTGTGTTTACCCTGTGTGCGTTATTACCTTGGCAGTTGGGGAAGCCGTAGGAGCCGTGTGCACAGCTGTCACACCTCAGTCCCACCACGTTGGGCAGACAGACACACTGTCCGGTCACCTGGTCACAGCTGGTGTAGCGGGAGCCCTCTCCAGAACAATGGCAGGCTGGAACACACACATTATCAACCTCTAGTTATTAACCTGTCTCATCTATTGATTAATATCTATTGATTCATTCAGCTGCCTGCCACTAAGTATCATGTACAAGCTTCAAAAGAAGTTAAGCTGATTCTATTATTTTGTCCACATGTGTAGACCAAAAGGTAAACCGGTGAAATAACTTCCTGAGAGAGATTAGAGCATCAGAAACATGTATATTTTGATTGAAAAAGAAACCAGGCGGGAGTTTTAAGGCGCCTTTAAAGATCAGTGACTTACGTGTGCAGCTTGGGTAACCATAGTAACCAGGAGCGCACTGATCACATGACGCTCCGCTGTAATTAGGCTGGCAGTGGCAGTGACCTGACGCAGTGCAGCTGGCGCCCAATGAGGTGCGAGGATCACAGGTGCACACTGAGAAAAAAAAAGTGACACATCTTGTTACAGGAAAAATAAGAGAAAGTTATCAAAGGCAAGCAGTCGATCAATTGGTACTGATGGATAACACTGATGTCTCAACAATTGAACAAAAACGCCGCCACAATACATTGTTATGCTATTTGTGTATGCAATGTATCATTCTCACAAGAATCTTACATCTAATTCACAGTAGGCTAGTAAAAGTTTATTTAGAGCAGCCATCAGAGACATCCTCTGGCTGTTGGAATACATTTTCTGATTTAAGGGTACCAACAAATTCTACTGATTCAGGCTGCGTATTTAGTGTTTTATCAAATTTATCATAGAGAACACAAGAGCACATAAATAGACCTACATACTATAATTGATTCTGCTTCTCTTCAATATATTTTAAATTATTCAGCCAAGTTTAGGTATTAAATAAAATCATAGAATTGTCTACAGCCAGTTGTGGGAGAAGAATGCATAGTTGTTTTTTTCTCAACCCACTCCATGGTTTCAAACTAGCAACCCTCTAACCAACCCTGTCCCATTTTTTTTAGAGTAATCTAGTTTCCTTTTGTTATATAACTGTATTATTTAACTTTCTGTCCATTTCTGCCGCTGGATCTATTCTTCTTCACATAAAAAAAGGAAGAGCCTGAATAAAGCAACATAAAACTTAACAAAGCAATATAACACTTCATTAGAAGGTGCGTCAAGTTAAGTGTTTCCATGTGCGTCTCTATATGTGAGTCCATACATCCAACAGGATATCTCTCTTTTTATTTCAGCATGCAGGGATCAGAAGTAACACATGCATTTAATCACTTTCTTTTCTTTATGTGTATGTGTTTCTGTGTGTGTGTGTACCTTGACAGTTGGGGTAGGAGTGGAATCCAGATTTGCACTGTTCACATCGAGGACCCTGAAACTCTGGTTTACACAGACAACGACCCGACGCATCGCAGCCTTGAGGCAGAGAGCCGACTGCACTGCAACCACACACTGGAGAGAGAAAGACAGAAACACAGAGGGTGTCTTTATTTTGATGGAACCAGGATTTAGTTGTACACCAAACATATTCATCTAATTGTTTTTGACTGATGTTGGGCCACATCAAATTTTGCTATGAGTGCCTGGTGAATGAGAGATTATATATTTTATTGTATCTAACTGCAGACAAATTGCACAATCCACCTGGATCTTGGTGTATTAGTATAGGAACTAGGATTTGGACTAAGCGTGATCATTTCCTTAAGAAACAATTCTTGAAGCCTGGATAGCTCAGCTGGTAGAGCCTTGGATTTTGGAGTCCCGGGCTCAAGTCCCCTGTTAAGGCGATTAGTTTGTTGTGACTGCCGTGCTTGATACCGTCAACATTTGTGTCCGACTGTGATAAACTTGTTCAATCGTGACAGATTGTGCAATGACTGCCTGGTTAAGTACAGATTATATATTTCTTGAATACTAACTGGCAACTAAGTGCACTATCCAGCAAGTTATTGGTGTATTAGTATATAAATTGGGATTTGGATTTAGCAAGATAGGTTCCTCTAGAGAGACATCTTCTCGAAGCCTGGATAGCTCAGTTGGTAGAGCATCAGACTTTTAATCTGAGGGTCCAGGGTTCAAGTCCCTGTTCAGGCGACTAGTTTGTTGGGTCTGTAGTGCTCAAATGCTGTATTTGGACAGAATTTGACTCGGCTTCTCAACCCTGGTGTAGATGCTTCCTTGACACCTCTTTCAAACCATCCATCTTCTCTGTCTAAAATGTGCACCTGGTGGTCCTCAAACGAGTGTCCTCTGTCCTTCAGATGTAAGTAGACTGCAGAGTCTTGACCTGAGGAGTTGGCCCTTCTGTGTTGAGCCATGCGTTTGTGTAGTGGTTGTTTAGTCTCCCCAATATACAGGTCTGTGCATTCCTCACTGCATTGGACCGCATACACTAGATTGCTTTTCTTGTGTTTTGGTGGGCAGTCTTTGGGGTGGACCAGCATCTGTCTTAGTGTGTTCTTGGGTTTAAAAAACACAGGGATGTTATGTTTGTTGAAAATCCTCCTGAGTTTCTCTGATACTCCAGACACGTATGGAATCACAATGTTGTTGCGTTTGACCTTCTTTTCCTCCTCCCCTGTAGTTTTGTTCTTCTTGGATCTTGTGGCTGTTTTCACAAAGGTCCATTTAGGGTATCCACAGGCTGTAAGTGCCCCCTTCAGGTGGTTCTGTTCCTTCTCTCTGGCTTGGGCGCTTGTTGGTATGTTTTCCGCTCTGTGGTGCAGTGTTCTCATTTAATTGTCTGTGAAGATTCTCAGTCATCCAGGTCATAGTTATCCAATGAAGGTTAAAGTCAAGGGCAACTGGACTTGGTTGAAGATACTGGAAGACGTTTCGTCCCTCTTCTGCACTTAAGCAGTGTTATTCAAATCATAACGGTTAAGCTGCAAGTTTGCAGAAAGCCTTTTAAGGGTCTTTGTGCCAGACTGTGATAAACTTGTTGAGTCCTGTCAGATTGTGCTAGGACTGCTTGGTGAAGTAAGGATGATATATTTCTTGTATACTAACTGCCAACAAGGTGCACTATTCACCTAGTTCTAGTCCCTGTTCAGGCGACGAGTCTCTTGGCTCTGCAGTGCTCAATACAGTCAACATGCATGGATAAAAGAATACTGCATTTGGACAGAATTTGCAGACTCCCCGACAACATCCATGTTAAGTCCACAAGTTTAAAAGGCCCTCTTTTCCCTTGACATTAGGACACTTTAATTGCATGTTGCCACATATTTGTGTCTCTGCTGGCCAGATCACAAATCTGATTTCAATCCATTGTGGTTTTCACAGGCTTATTACAAATCTAGGGTTGAACCTCCTCCAGTTGAGAAGAAGATGGTAATGGATCTAAAGCTGATTGTTAACTGTTAAAAGTACCAGTCGAACAACAATTTCTGCACTTAAGCAGTGTTATTCAAATCATAACGGTTTAGCTGCAAGTTTGCAGAAAGCCTTTTAATATAAACTTGTTGAGTCCTGTCAGATTGTGCTAGGACTGCTTGGTGAAGTAAAGATGATATATTTCTTGTATACTAACTGCCAAAGAGTTGCACTATTCACCTAGTTCTTGGTGTATTGGAATGACAAAATGGTGCATTTGGACACAACTTGCAGACCTCCGCTTACTTGCACTCTCATTGCACATAAAAGGAGATTAGCATATTTGCATCTCTGCTGGCCAGATCACAAATCTGATTGCAATCTATTGTGGTTTTCCCAGGCTTATTGCAAATCAGGGTTGACCCTCCTCCAGTTACTTGGTGAAGTAAAGATGATATATTTCTTGTATACTAACTGCCAACAAGGTGCACTATTCACCTAGTACTTGGTGTATTAGTATATAAATTGGGATTTGGACTTAGCAAGATAGTTTCCTCTAGAGAGATATCTTCTCGAAGCCTGGATAGCTCAGTCGGTAGAGCATCAGACTTTTAATCTGAGGGTCCAGGGTTCAAGTCCCTGTTCAGGCGATGAGTCTCTTGGGTCTGCAGTGCTCGATACAGTCAATGTGCATGGATAAAATAATACTGCATTTGGACAGAATTTGCAGACTCCCCGACAACATCCATGTTAAGGCCCTCTTTTCCCTTGACATTAGGACACTTTAATTGCATGTTGCCACATATTTGTGTCTCTGCTGGCCAGATCACAAATCTGATTTCAATCCATTGTGGTTTTCCCAGTCTTATTGCAAATCTAGGGTTGACACTCCTGCAGTTGAGAAGAAGATGGTGATGGAACAAAAGCTGATTGTTAACTGTTAAAAGTACCAGTCGAACAACAATTTCTGCACTTAAGCAGTGTTATTCAAATCATAACGGTTTAGCTGCAAGTTTGCAGAAAGCCTTTTAAGGGTCTTTGTGTCAGACTGTGATAAACTTGTTGAGTCCTGTCAGATTGTGTTAGGACTGCTTGGTGAAGTAAAGATGATATATTTCTTGTATACTAACTGCCAAAGAGTTGCACTATTCACCTAGTTCTTGGTGTATTGGAATGACAAAATGGTGCATTTGGACACAACTTGCAGACCTCCGCTTACTTGCACTCTCATTGCACATAAAAGGAGATTAGCATATTTGCATCTCTGCTGGCCAGATCACAAATCTGATTGCAATCTATTGTGGTTTTCCCAGGCTTATTGCAAATCAGGGTTGACCCTCCTCCAGTTACTTGGTGAAGTAAAGATGATATATTTCTTGTATACTAACTGCCAACAAGGTGCACTATTCACCTAGTACTTGGTGTATTAGTATATAAATTGGGATTTGGATTTAGCACGATAGGTTCCTCTAGAGAGACATCTTCTCGAAGCCTGGATAGCTCAGTCGGTAGAGCATCAGACTTTTAATCTGAGGGTCCAGGGTTCAAGTCCCTGTTCAGGCGACTAGTTTGTTGGGTCTGCAGTGCTCAAATGCTGCATTTGGACAGAATTTCAGACTCCCCGACAACATCCATGTTAAGTCCACAAGTTTGAAAGGCCCTGTTTACCCTTGACATTAGGACACTTTAATTGTCTGTGAAGATTCTCAGTCATCCAGGTCATAGTTATCCAATGAAGGTTAAAGTCAAGGGCAACTGGACTTGGTTGAAGATACTGGAAGACGTTTCGTCCCTCATCCAAAGCTATTTAACCTCAGTGGGGTCGTTTGCCAGGATCTTCGATACCGCTGGTTTGTTAATGTTCCTGGCTGGCGTAACGACGTCGTTATGGTCGTTAGGACTACCCGAGGCCAAGACTGAACAACCATTGTTGGCATCTTCACCTGAGGCCAATAGGTTACGTTTGTTGAGTTTCCTGGGAAGTGATGAAAGGACAGCATTGTAAGTGGGGGATAAGTGGTGGCGTAGACCCCTCCTCTGTTCAGCGATGGCTTCTCAACCCGGGTGTAGATGCCTTCCTTCTCCAGTTGAGAAGAAGGTGGTAATGGATCTAAAGCTGATTGTTAACTGTTAAAAGTGCCAGATGTACAACAACTTCTGCACTTAAGCAGTGTTATTCAAATCATAACGGTTTAGCTGCAAGTTTGCAGAAAGCCTTTTAAGGGTAATAAGGGTGATAAACTTGTTGAGTCCTGTCAGATTGTGCTAGGACTTCTTGGTGAAGTAAAGATGATGTATTTCTTGTATACTAACTGCCAATAAGGTCGTTTTCCCAGGCTTATTGCAAATCGGGGTTGACCCTCCTCCACTTCACAAGAAGGTGGCATGTATTAGTATCTCAGTTGGGATTTTGACTTAGCTCAGTCGGTACTGCATCAGACTTTTAATCTGAGGGTCCAGGGTTCAAGTCCCTGTTCAGGCGACTAGCTTCTTGGGTCTGCAGTGTTTGATGTTGTTGATTAGCACAGAACTTCCAGACTTCCCAGGAATATCTTTCCATCCCTGTTTAGCTTTCTTTACATTATTAAGACAGATCGCATGCTAATAGTGTAAATGGGGTCCTTATATTCTGACTCCTGTTTTAATTTAGACTATTTTCGAATAATAAACAATGACTGAAGATAAATACTGTATGTTTTTATAATGCCATATTGACAGTATCATTGCCAATACATTTATCTAAAGGCTCACTATATACTAAGAAACCGAAGCACTTGGCTGATGACTCACGTTGGCACAGTGGGTAGTTGAAGTAGCCCGGTGCACATTGATCACACTCATAACCTTGGAAACCACTTCGACACACAGCGTGACCGGTCACAAAGTCACATGATCCATCCAGACAGCCGGGACCTGAGCACTGACAGGCTGGAGGAACAAACACACAAAAGTTAGAGAAATAACAGCCTGACACACAGACTGATAAATAACACTTCTTGAAGACAGAAAGACAAAAAGGGACAAGAAAAGTGAACAATATGTCCGAGTGAGTATTTTTCATTTCATTTATTGATGACTGTGTTTACCAGCTTCACAGACTGAACGGAAAGGTGTTAAACTATATACATTGATTTACACAGCATAGTGGAATGCTGTTTATTCAGGAGTGTGTGTGGGTGTGTGTGTGGGGGGGTAAGGCAGCTCCTGGGTGGTAAACTAACACAGGATAAATAAACAAACAAACGATAAATAAAGTGCCAGGAATTCCTGCCTCTGTTTGTGTTTTTGTATTTTTGTATGTGTGAGAATGTGAGTAGAACAAATCCATCAAACTCTGCTGATTTAAACAACACATTCCTCAATTAAAGCTCACTGATTTTGATTTGATGGCTTTGAGTGGCGACAAGATCATCATCTGAAGCTTCATACTTTATTAGGTCACGATTATGCAATGTAAAATCATTAAACCAAATATTGTTTAGTGTCTTTTGTTACTCGAGAAAGTGAGGAGGTGTAATTGTTGGACTCATGTAAAGGCATCATTTTCACCTGAGCTTTAACAGGTGCTTTTGATGTGATTTTTCAGTGTTTTCTCATGTTTTATAGACCAAAGGAATAATTACTGTGAAACTTTATTTATTACTAAAGTCTAGTCCCAATTAGACCCCTGACCCTTTCACTTGCCTAGTGTGGCAACACGTTTTGATAAATAAACGCAGGTCTCAATTAGATACCATCTGGTTTAAATAAGTTTTTTAGATGTAAAAAAAAAACTTGAAGCCAACCTGGGCACCTGCTTAAACTAGTTCTAAACTGTTAAAATTGTGCAAGTGTTTTAAAGATTTGTCAATACGGACATGCTACACCTCAGTTCAGTTAGATTCTCAACAATTTCAATCGTTTAGTTAATTTTACGTAAAAATTGAGCATTTAATTTCAGATTTCATTCAGATTTACCGGCATGTTAAAGGAATTAAAGGCCTGTCCCATATACAGTAGACACCTGTCACAAATATAGGCAGCATGAGTTCAGTGATTTAGAAAATAAAAGCCCATTTTAATTAATTGAAGTTTTATGGTGATAGAGAAAGAATGCAGTGATTAATCGATAATGAAAATAATCACTAGTTGCAGCCTTAATATACTCTTCTATTTGTCTATCCATGTAACTGTCTCTCACCCTGACAGTTGAGTCCATAGAAACCAGGAGCGCAGGTGTCGCAGTGGTCACCAGTGAAACCTGGTTTACAGATGCAGGTCCGAGTTCGGGGATCCGGCCTGCAGGAGTTATCAACAGTACCAGCTGCACTGCACTCACAGTCTGCAGAAAGAGAATATAAACAGGCTTATTGGCAGTAATGTTTCTTGTCAATAAAGTTATGTGACTTGGGAGATAATTACTTATATATATCACAAACATAACTCCCCTCAGTAAACCAAACACAAACAGGCTGATATGAGCAGAACCGCTGGTGGTTATGTAGACCAGACTAACATCTATCCAGAGTGTGAATTGTACAATGACAATCTAGTGGGTCAATTTGTTTCCCAGGTTATAAAGGAAACCCAGTACAGAGCAGCACACGCTTCAGTGAATAAAAGGTCTTCCAATGCTTATAATATCCTTTACTTGTTTAATGTAATGTCTGAAGTCTGTAGATGATAATAAATAACAGTTCATGGGTTCCCCATATCACAAAACACAGGATGCATTCTCATCACTAATACCTAACCCTTATAATTTCAAGTTTTAGGTTTCAACTACGTTCAATAAAGTAGTAGTCATACATTTGAAATAACACATTATTTAAAAATGTTTTAATTACTTTGCCCAAATTCCAGAGTAAAAAAAAATGCTATGCTAATAACGTGGGGCAGGCTGCACACACACTGCTGAAACACTTCTGAGACTCTTCCAGTGGCCGGGCTATGGACGGATCAAAACCGTGGCGCAGCCATAATGCGCCATAGCCGGAGTCAGTGTACTTTCGGTGTAAGTCTTACTGAAGGGGGCAGATCCCTTCAATCCCCCTTAATTCGAACCATGCTTGTATCCATGAGGTTGGACTGAATAGTGTTTTGGTCCAGCTTATCACATTCCACTGAAATTCCATTCACACCACAGTGATTTTCCCAACCCCCCCCCCCCAAACATCTGACTTTCACCATAAACATCAACAGCTGAGCAGGTGAGAGGAGATCATGGGAAAATGCAGAAACAGTATGAGTCACAACCAGTCATCAGTTTGTTTCGTCATTCTATTTTTTTTTTTTTTTTTTTACATTTCTTTCATTTGATCATATTTTATTAACTTTCCATTATATTATATCAACCTTTTAAACGCTGGGACTAACCTCTATGCACATTTCTGCAAAGTTTAGACTTTTCTTTGGACTGAACCCGATCCTTATGCTTAATTTAGCAACAATTTATTTAATATAAAAATGAAAGGACACTACAGCAAAAAGGAAAGGTAGAATTTAAAGTCTTACTTATGATCTCTCCCGCTGGTTTGGCTTCACCATTGTTGTTGTTGGGATAAGTTGGGATGGCTGATGAACAAAGAGGGAGAGAGAAGGAGATTAGAAAGCAGGGAAATAATAAAAAAAACAATCTTTTTTATCTAATCTTTAATTCAATTTATATTTTTACATAGGAGGTGGATTTGAATGCTTTGTCCCGTCTCTTTGGACACCTAGAACACCAAAGCTCAGACAGTTTTATGAGGCGTTTCTCTTGCTGTAACTCACGGTAACAATCAGGGAAGTTAATGAAGCCGCTGGCGCAGGAGTCACAGTTCTCTCCAGTGTAGTTTGGTTTGCAGTGACAGCGACCAGTCAGATCCTCACAGGTACCGTCTGTAAACTCTGACTGACAGTTGCAGCCTGCAGGGGGGCAGAAGGAGGAAGATATAAATAGAAAAAAGAAAGATATGACATAAAAGATGGATATATTATATTTGCATTTGCTCATTATTTGGCAGACAGCTGTCACTCACGAGAGCAGGTCAGTGGGGATTCGATGGGGTGGTCAGGTGACCTGTAGTAGGTGGGGACGCAGCGCTCACAGTTGACTCCAGTGGTATGATGCTGAAAGGGCGGAGTTTCCAGTTTTACAGTTAGCTCATCAGGACTGTAATCAGCAACAAAACTCAACAATGCATACTGATTACTTCAGGGAAGATCCGCGTACAAAAAAGATTACAGTTACAATACTTATATTGTATATTATGCAAATGTTCAAACTTTCACATAATTGTTCCGCAATCAGGACACATAGGCAACATAACAGGATGTAACATTTAATTATTAAATGAATCTAATTTTGCCACGCTTTTAAATATTCCATAAGTGGAACAGGTAATATAATAAATAGGAGAGTAGAATAAAACAGAGTTTTGATCACCTGACATGTGAGGCAGACTCCTCCTCCTCTGTAGTTTCCATGGATATCTAAGCTGCCTCTCTTCTGATCAACCTCAGGGTCGTAGTAACAGTCAAACGAGTGACGGTGACAGTTACACGCTGAAACACACAATTAACGGCAGGTAATGCACAGCAACAAGCACAAATAACTGCAGTGTTATTTTAGCAAGATAAAACAAAACACTAATAAACAACGGTCAAACTAAATCAGGGTAAGTTTGAAAATTGGGGATGAAAACTGAGCAAACTCTGTCTTCTGATGAAGACCGTGAGATTCAGCTGAAAAGCTCCAGAAAAAGCTAATAAGTAGTCCTTGAGTTATTATTAATTTTTTATTTGTCATATCAAACCGACTTTCAAAAATTTAAGTGGTGCAGTGTTAACACAAACTCTTCTTCCCCAGACCCCAAATATCTTGACAATGACACATTTTAACATTTTGTATATAGTTATAGCCTTATTAAAATGCAAAATAATTTATTCACATATTTTACGTACTTATGTTATTTGTCTGGCTGTTTTCATAAAGAATGAGAGATATAAATAAATTCTCTTAGTTGAAAAGCCTGTTCTTTGATTATTTTGTTTCATTATTATTGAATAAGTATGAGGAGCCAGTAAAAATTTTACGAAGGAAGAATAATAACCTTGCTGTCACAATATAATTGTATAATGGAAATCATAGACATCATTAACTAAAGAGTATCCAACCTCAGATCTGTTCACAAGCAGGTGACTCAACAAAAAAAACAAAACAAAAAACACATCAAGCACTCTGAAACAACACTTCACCTCAGGGAGAAAAACTGCTTTAAGTCCAGAGATATGAAGCAGGAGAAGAAGAGAAATTAGAATAAAGTTGAGGACAGGAGGAAAACACACCAAGCAGTTAGTTAGCACTTAATTACTAATAAATACAGTAGTAGATATCTGTTTCACTTAGAATATGGACAGAAAACCCCTCAGTATCACAGCCACACAAAATGTTATGTGACATACAGCATTAACCAACCTCAGACATTAATCTCAGCCTCACTTCAAGTCACTTCAAATATGTTTTGAAACCTGTTTCCTCTGACAGGTGTTCATTCACAGTGGGAGATTACATGCTCTGCTGAGGATCCTATTCAGCATGTTTCCAAACAAATCATAAAAGACAGGAATGAGAGAAGCTGCAATTAACATAATCACACAAGCTTAATCATTTCAAGACGGGACATTTGATGAAAGTCAGTCATCAGATTGTTTGTAGTTTGAAGCAGACAGGGGAAGGCTGGGGATATTTTATGAATCATAAAGGGGGTTATTTCATGTCTGATCAAAGACAGTGATCAAAGACTGGTGCAGTTGCTCTCGCACTCTGGCACAGTTTTTTTGTTTGTAACATGACATGACACCCATGTAAATTTGAAGAATTAAATGAATCACACATAGACAAACATCTTGATTATTTATCTTTAAACACAACGTCACCTTTTTATGACCTAATAAAATAAAATGTTTGTGTGTGTGCTTTGCATTACCATCTGGTTTCACTAGGGTTCAACGTATAATCTTTTCAACTTCAGTCTTGCTTTTTACAACCTCCCATACAGCTGACATTTCTTTGAAAACAGCTCTGAAGGCAGATGGTTATATGTACATTTGGCTGTATAAATACAGGATGTACCAGATAAACAATAGGCTACTATTGCCAAATTACACGTTTAGTTCCTGTGTAACTGATGATCTTGAGTTTGTCAATAAAGAGGAACGGAAACACAAGCTACTTCCTTTCGAGAGTTAGATGAAAAGATCGATACCACTCGACTGTTCAGAAATATTTAGTCGGTTAGCTTAGCTTAGATTAGCATAAAGACTGGAAACAAGCGGAAACAGCTAGCCTGACTCTGACGAAAACAACACAAAATCTACCCAGCAGCACCTCTAAAGCTCACTAAATCAATATTTTATTTGTTTAATTTACACAAAACAAATATCTTTAGTTTTCCTGGGAGATATGTGCAGGTCTATTTCTTGGGCGGGGGCGAATGACTTCCTGGAGTCATTACCATGACATAGCCAGAAAACCAGCGGAGACGACAAGAAAAGTACTTATGTTATGTATGCTTGTCAAACTGATTCCTTTGCCTTTGATTATATGAATAAAGAATAACGGAAGTCTAACGGCCTAAACTTGTCTATATCATTGTACAAATACCCCTACAGTAAAAAGATTACATACATCTCTTTATTTAAAATGTGATAAAGAAACAGAATTGCATGCTTACAATGCACACATCCATAAAACCCAGGTCAACCTTTACTCTTCATGCAGAGTCAGTGAAAAGCTGATAGAGCTTTTTGTTCTTATCTGACCCTCAGCGCCTGAGAGGTGCTGGCTGAATAAACCAGTGCTCCTTTATCCTGCAGCTCCTGATAATACAGAGTGTTTTTCCTCAGACTTGAGGCACATTTTAGTTGTTTCATTTTTTGAAACCAACCCTCAAAACTCTAAAAGGTCCTTTATTGTGGATCTACTGCAGTGAGTCAGGCGAGTGATAAACTAAGCGGACCAGAATAACTCAACCTGTGAACAGGGACAAAATCCTGCCCGAAGAGCTGCCCTCTGCTCCACTAGTCTCAGCTGGATTATAAAGTTTCTCATAAATGGTTACTTTCATCAGACGTTTTAAAAAGGCTGAAAAAAATCACAGGTCTCACGCTTTAGTTGTTGTTCAAGGTTACAATCTGAGCTACCATGTAGTCACCATGTATCTCTAGATTTGGTGATTTAGAATTTTTTCAGATACATTCAAGAACTAAGTGTTCTTTTATAGGTTGGGAAAACACACCTACTTCTTTATATTATGACATAAAACCCATCGGGTGATCTTAAATATAATATGTCACAAAGATAGAAATTGTTCTTACCTCATGAAAAGTTTGATAGGTTTAACATTTTGGAGATACATGGTTTTCACAGGACAGAAAGATGATCCATGCATTTATCTTATATGTTATTATACTCGTGGTATATATATACATATAAATAAAAAAAATCCTGATAGAAACATTTCCAGGTGCAGTATGAACAGAACCTGATTTACTTTAGTCTCACTCTAGAGCTGTAGTAACAGTTACATATTAAAGAACAAACTTGCAGCGCTGCAGCAAATGCCTGCATCCGCCTTTCTCTGTAGTTTTGTTTATATCATTTTGCCTTGTAGTGACCTTTTTGCCTTTGTGATACCCGTGTTGTCCCTTGTTAAATATAACTGCAGCTTTGATAACAGACGGCTCTCACATGTAAATATAACCGGAGTTTTGATAACACGAACACACTCGACAGACTGCAATAGGACACAGTCTGAGTTTTGGTTTTATACTGACACTTAATTGTTCTTTGTAAATCTTGAGTATATAAAGATAAATAATGCCTGAGTGTGTGCATGCAGGAAATAACACAAAAAGCATTTTTTCCACATTTTAAATGACTAAATTACATTTTAAAAATGTGTCAAATCTTAAAAACCATCCTGAAAGTAAAGGTATGGGTTTTTAATAAATGTGTGTCATTTTTTTTTTGTGTGTCAATTGTCTGATAAAGATTATTATTATAAAGATATTTTTGTGAGTTACAATTTTGTCATTATGAAAAGTGTTTATACAAAGATAAGTAAAGAAACGTCAAGAAAATACGGAAATAGACTAAATTAGGGCTACAACTAATGATTATTTTCATTATCGATTAACCTGATGATCGTTTGCTTGATAAATCGATTGGTTGTTTGGTCCATAAAATGTCAGAAAATCGTGATATATGTTGATCATTGCCCAAGATGACATACTCAAATGTTTTGTTTTGTCGACAACCCAAAGATATTCAGTTTACAGTCAAAGAGGAGCAAAGACACCAAAAATATTCACATTTGAGAAGCTGAAATCAAAGAATTTAGACATTTTACTTAGAATTAATTAGAATTAAAATGACTCAAAATGATTAATCTTTTATCAAAAATTGTGATATATTATTAATAACTGACAACTAATCGATGAGTCGACTAATTGTTGCAACTCCAAAATGAATAAAATTAATTACTAAAAACTCAAAACAAGGGGTTAGGAAGAAGTTAAATACAAGACCACAAGTAAAAAGAGAAAAACTGAGTGTATGAAAAAGAGGAAAACTAGGAAAAGGCTCTTAAAGAACAGTGGTTCCTATGGCTCCCATTATCAGGGCCCGTTAATAAATGATTCCCATGCAATGCTTTTCATCCAGCCTGAGTAATCCAATCATTAACTGCGGAGCCAAGAGGTGTTTTCCATATATCTTTCCTCTGTAATAACTTCACACCACACCATCAGTGCTGTGTGGATCTACTCGCAGGTGGAACATCTCCAAATGGAGAGGCATCATCTCCCAGCACAAATATGGCATGAAAATAATGGAGATATTCAAAATCTATTGAGCATGAGTAGCATATATTTGAATGTATGTATATTTAACCAGGAGGCCTGAAGCATTTTTTTTCAAAACCATAAAGCATTTTCTAGAGACACTCTTCTGATGTGCGTGTGTGAAGCTACAGTAGGAGCAGCACTGCAGCCCATGTGTCTGTTCAGCTTCAGTAAATTAAGGCCAACTAGTTCTGTTGAACCAACGCATGAAAGAAAACACATTCCTCTGCTGGGATCACTGATTATGTGTGTGTGTGTGTGTGTGTGTGAGAACAAGCACGGGTTCTTCCATATATGCTGGAGTGTGAGAGTCGGTGCACAGTATCAGGCCGTACTCACGTTCACACTCGTTGGCGCTGTAGGTCGTGGCCGGTCTCCATGGTAACTGGTTGTATCCAGGGCAACACTGGTCACAAGACACGCCACAGGTGTTGTGCTGACAGTCACACAGTAGCCTGTAAACAACAACAACATTATGAGTAAACAAATCAACAGACATACGGTTTAAAATTATAGCCTACAGTGATAACACACAATTAAAGTTTTATTTTGAAATCACCTCTCAATGTATTGCTTTTACACTTTGACAGACATGCATTCGCACATACTGTAATGTTTTCATTAATTCCAGGACATTACACTGACTTACATTCATTTCCTGGAGATTTACACCAACCGTAACTATAACCACTACTGGCCTAACCGTCTTCACGCTAAAATGTAATGAATTACGTTATGGGGACTTGTTTGTTTTGTCTCCAAAAGGAAGGCGAGTCCACACAATGTGTCTGTGTAAAAAGATTTATGTCGCAACAACATGAGTAATACCTATCCACACAGACACACTGGAGACACAAAAGGTTGAAATATGCCATGGTATGTACCTATCTAAGCCCATTGTGCTTTGGGTAAAACATCATGTGAACTTTTCTCAAAAGTTCACATTCCTCTTCCTTTTAACCTGCTACTGTCACTTCAAAAGAAAAGAAAGAAAGAATAGTGTGACAGAGAGCGAAAAGAAAAGAGTGGAAATAGACCCCCCAACAATGAAGGAGTTAATCTTTCTCCTTCATTGACAGTGGCTGACTGCTTCACCCCGGCTTTTAATCGGATTAGCCTGTAAACCTGCGGCCCGCGGAGTGTGGCCAAAACACAGCAGGGGGAGAGAAAAAACCCTCTTAACGCTATTCTTGCGTCTCTCTGAGTCCTCTTAACCGGTCAAAGAGAGACCAAAACAGAGGACTGGAGTCAAGGGAGTGAGAAGTGTGATTAAAACGAAGGGAAAGAAATCCACTGAAAAAGCACCAAACAAATGTTATGACTGTAGTTTGATTCCAACTGTGCCTGAAGGTACAGGTGCACAAGTGTACAAACAGACACATTAAGGCAATATTTAGCTTACGTCTTCATTTTTCTGCGCTTTTGCTGACGACTCACTTCTGTAGCCACATTCCTAAAAACTCCTCTAGATGTCTCATGATTGATGATGATATGACTGAGGAAAATGCATGGAATATGCAACAGAAGTGTAACTGTTGATGACTGAAGAAAAGACAGATCTAATGGATTTCTGGCACCCTTAAATTATATTATAGGCTGTCCGCATCAATTGAGGGACTGTGGTGTTGGTTGTTAACATCAGCGTTAACACCGTTTCTAATGATTTTATATGTTAACAACTGTTCCTTTTGGCTATAAATAAATAAATAGATACATCTGTTTTGTGATCCTTGATTTTTCTCTTTATCTACTTCATTTTAAATCTGTCTGGAATTCACAACTACTGCTTAATTATAAAAACTTGGCAGCTGTTTTCGAAATCATTGCATGAATAAACTGAGGAGAGATAAACCGCTCGCAGATGCAAAATCATACTCGAGTTTGTCTTCATCTTGTTTATGGAGCTGTGAACTGGTGTTCATCCATATTTTGGTTGAGATCACCATGTATTTATTTATTGGGAGGTGAAAAATCTTAACGCATTAAAACAAGTTTCTATTTGAAAGGTATTTTAACCATTTAAAATGTCTGAAGATCACTTTGGAGGGCTGTTCTGCTGTGGGAGGCGAGTTCTTGCTCTCTGGTCTGTGCTGATAACGTGTCTGTGTATTGTGTTTCAACAGGCTGATTGTGTTTCCAGCTTTAACCTTTACTATCAGATCCATTCATTCAGTCTATCCCTCTCTCTCTCTCTCTCTCTCTCTCTCACACACAATTTAATTCACATGCTCACTCATGCATCCCTTAGCTCTCTCACCCTCCCTCTCTCATTCTCCATCCTTCTTTCCTTTTCTCCCTGGCGATTAGCTCTATTCAAGCGCTTTAGGAAATGACTTTCAATGGACAGTTTCCACCCAAATTCACTACTTCCTGGTTTCGATTAGCTTCGGTCCTGCAGCTTCCTGGTCGAAGCAGAGTAAACAAGGTCATTACTTAAGGGTTTATAAAGCTGAATTTCACACATGGTTTACGGTGTGAATTAGTACAGTATGATACAGCAATGTTCATAATCTTATAATATCAGAGTTGGTTGAAAGTTTTCCATTCTGTTTTCTAATTAATTAATATCTGAATGACAAATAAAAATAAAATTACAGGAACTCTACATTGGTGAAACAACGTCAGACCAAAAGTGGTCACAGCATCGACTGGGAAGGGCTGAAAGTCATTGACAAAGAGTCAGTAGACATCCAGTGACAGAGCAAAGAAGACATTCACATCCAAATTCTTTGTTTGATTGTTTTAAAAATGGCGGCAACTGTTTGATTTTACAGTTGGATCAACTAGTCACAACGTGGGTGCTCTCAGTGAATGTAAAATAAACTGGTTTTGTCCACTGACAATTCCAATAAAGTTTAATTCTGATAAAATGACTGTGTTCTCAAATAAACGTTGACAAAGAGAAAGGCAACATGAACAGAAAGCAAGAAGGAAAAAAAGACGAATCCGACTGAACACACACAAATTTGACAGAAATTCTTTTCGATTGTAAATTGAGTTGCAATTTGGACTTAAACTGTGCAGTGTCTGCGCTGTGGTACTTAAGGTACTATAACCACGGGTTTCCAAAAAGCTATTAAAGAAGATACAAATATTTTTTAGCTGTCCTCTCATGCCTTTAGTGTCATATGGGAAAAGATCATCACAGAAAATGTTTGCTAATTTCAGTGTGAGGACTGTTTGATTGTAAATAAAGATAATTACTGTATTTTTAAACTTGTTTTCATATACAGTATTTTGGTGTCAAAATGACTATTATGCAGTGGTGGGTCATCCCAGGCCTTTCTCTGTGGAGTTTACATGTTTTCCCTGTGTCTGCGTGGGTTCTCTCTAGCTGCTCCGGCTTCCTCCCACCATCCAAAGACGTGCAGGCGAGGTTAACTGGTGACTAAATTGTCCCTCGTTGTGAACGTGAGGGGTGATTTGTATATGTATGGTCCTGTCATGGACTGGCGACCTGTCCAGGATGTGCCTCGCCTTTAGCTCGATGTCAGCTGAAATTGGCTCCAGCCCACTGCGACCCTGAACACAGGATAAGCTGTCGAAGATGGATGGATGACCAGTAGGTCCGTACAGTAGATGGCTTCAGCTGGCTGCAATGGCTGCAACATATTCCTTCTTTTTGCCACCGACAGGCTCAGACTGTTGTTAACATCATGGAAAGGATCCCTACAAATGGCGCCCAGTGACACCCTTTATTTTCAATAAGAAACAGAAGGCTCGCTCAATTGTCGCTCTGAAATCTCGTGAGATGCATGTTGTTGCAAGAAATGTAGGTTTAAAAATACAGAAATTATCCTTTAACTGCTTTTACTTTTGCTTAAATGGATTTGTTTTACATCAGTACTTTCCCTTCTACTTAGGTTAAACTCACTTAGCAACAGTTCTTCACCCTGTGTAGGACACTCTCCTTCATAATGCAGTCTGTGTTTTGTGGCCTTTAAACAGCAAACTGTTGAGAGTCATGATAATGTCAGCAGTGCAGCTACAGGTCGAAGCATTCAGTCACCTGCTGCCTTTAAACACAGACCTCCAGTCAGCAGACCTGCTGTCATCTATAACACACCTGCGGGATATAACGACGTTAAACAAAGTGCAACATTGATGTAACGTTTCAGATTTACATTCTTTCGCTCCGACACAACCCAGACAGAGTATCTTCAAACGCAATGAGGTCAGGAGGGATTTATTTGAATTCCTTATCCCCCGTGTTCCCATTAATCAAACACCTGCGTGGAATAAGTTAAAATATATAGTAACTGCATGACTCAAGGGATACATTTGAATTTCTGAAGAATATTTGGAATTTTTTGATAAAACCTAAGACTTGCATCAGAATATTCATCCACACCCCTGATCCTTCCTTCTGATTGTTTAAAATACCAGAATTCCCCCTGAATCACATATTTATATCCATTGAAACATCACAACTATAATTATTTAGGGAGTTACAAAGCAGAGATTATATTTGAAGAGTCCTTTAAACAGTTTGAAAGGATTCAAGTGTCAGTGATTGCTTTTTCCATTGAGGTTAATTATTCTTTTATGTGTGCAACACCCAGATGAGTCACAAATTAAACATTGTCTGTCTCCGAAGCTCAGTTTATTCTTTGGTAAAGCCAAACAGCTGTTTCTAAAGGTGAAATCCATCCACGTCGTTTTTCTCTCTTAAATTTTTTCTTTCACTTAAGTATGTCTGGATCGTAGCTGATTGTGATTAGCTCTCAGGATGGAAAACAGGTTTTAAAGTCAAGGTCCATTAACAACCTCTCTGCTTTCCACTCACTTCTCCCTTCCAACTCTTTCTTACCCTTTACATCTCTGTATTTTTCCTACTTTTTAAATTCTTTCAAAGAATTTGGAAGGAATGTGTGAGTTATTGTTGTTTTAGGAGGCTTTGCAACTGTGTAATAAATCTAATAACCACTTTGTTGGAGAACAAATGTAATCAGTAACATTATAAGGAAACCTGAACAGTCTTCTGTAGATTTTTTCTTTTAGTTTTTTTTAGAGTTAGTCTCTATTCCAAAAAGGAGTTTAAGTTAAAGCAGCTAAGTCAACCTATTAGCAAGCAAACTAGCCAGCTGGTGATTTTAGCAAAGGCAGTGATGCTAATATCTACATGGTAACCTTAGCTTTTATCAAGTTGCTTAACCTACACAAATGTTACAAACGCACTGGAAAAATGCTTAACTTCACAACTGTAGCCCAGACTCACTAATTTCTAACACCACCTTCATAACAGTAAAAAAATGTAGTACATAGCAAGGTTTCCTGCAATGTTTTATAGTGGCGACATCGTGCCTCGCCTGAACAAAGACCACGTCTGCTAAAATACAACACCTGTGTTTTAAACTTCAGGGAAAATGAGCAGTGACACACAACGAAAGGCCACATATTTAATTAGTGAAGCAAATGTTTAAACTGTCATCCAGTGACTACACTCATAACGAGG